AATAAAAAAATTATTCTCAAAATATTTAAAATATATTGGCGATTCTTTCCAAAATATTTTTCATTTTACATGAATGGTGCAGTTTTTTAAATGAAAAACAACGAAATTAGCTGTGTAGGAGTTGAATTTCAAAAAACTAATTCGGAATTACTATTATACACGTGTTTTCAAAAATTCTGCAAAAAACCTCTCTAGCTCAAAAAATGGAGACCTTGGACTGACTTTAACACTTCAAACGTCTGCGGAGCAAACGAGCAATAAACAATTAATTTTTTTGCACTAATTATTCGTTTTCAGACACATATTATCCATCATCAATTCATGCTAAACCTCACTCCAATAGCCCATGAATTTTAAAACTCATAGTAGTCTCCCCTTGAAAAAATGTGCGCCGCACACCTCCCACGGACGAAAAAACACTTTTACGCACTCGTATCGAAATATTCTTTTAAGGATATCCAAGTATATTTCATCACAGAATTATTATTTTTTTAAACATTCTTTGTTTATTACTATCTTCAATCCTCACACTCGTCAGGAATTTTTTTTCCGTACTGACCTTCACTTTTCCTCGTCCGGGGATTGGTATTGACCCTTCCCCAAACTCGTAAAAGTGAAAATCACTACGGAAAAATATCGTTCACGACTAGTGCCATGGGCTTTTTTTACTCGTATAGTTGGCCAGTCCTCGCCTTCGGCTCGGACGCCAACACCACGCGAGTAAAAAACTCCATGGCACTCGTCCTGAAATATATTATTTCGGCCTTGTGACGAAAATAGCTATTTCGTACGTGATTAATTCCATTACATTTCCTTCTACCTCTCCATTTCTTCAATCTTCCCTAAAGTTTTCGTTTGTGCCGTGCCCAAAAACTGATATTTTCGAGCAATTGTTCATAAAGTTATATCTCACTCAGGGCTGATTTCACATAAAACGTCCATTTTCATATAATCGAAATCAAAACGGCCGAATATTCATCGCCACATAAGATCTAGCCCCGGCAAAAATCCTACAAAAAAGTTATAACCGGTGAAAGGCGAGAAAAATTAAGGCAAATAGTGAACATACAGCACTGCATTGAGTAATTTTTTGTATATATCTCAAATGTGTTTTTTTGCTCCAGCATTTTTTTGCCCCCGAGGTGTCCTGCCACGAAAAATGGATCAGTTTTACCGGAAACAGCGTTTCACGTTTGTTCTTGGTAAACGGACAACACACACACATGAGTGTTGGCTACTTTAATTGGAGAAACGATTACCTCCGTTCTGCCTAACTGGTCTTTTCTCATGTTTGTGCCACAACCAATGTTTTTAACAACCCAGGTGAAGCATACAAACGGCGAGGGGCTATTTAAATCGTGGCCCGTGGCTTATTTACCGGGCTTTACGATACTTTATTCTCCACAAATTTCAATTGCTTAAAAAAAAATGTTCGACTCTTCGGGTGTTGGCTTTCGGGTGGGTAATTGCGTACTAAAGTTCACTTTAATTATGGGGGAAAGGTGGTTAGGATTGTGGATGAGAAGATACATAAATTATTGTAATTCAATAGGATGTATTGCTAACTTAATTTTCATTTCATTTTTTATTGAAATATTGCTACTTGCTGGCGGTATCTCAAACGATTTGATTATTTAAAATAAAAATTATGGAATTGATGTAAATTGATTTTGACATAATTCTGTTTTTTAAAAATCATCAATAGATTGTGCAATTTGAACGCATCTTTAATGTAAAATCAAAGGAATTGTCGCATAATCAAATTACAATGTTTAACGGAATCTAAACGACGAGACTGCGATATATGTATCGTGTGATACCCCCGTGGGATTTGAACTCACAACCTTCAGATTACTCAGCTGACGCTCGTCCAATGGAGCTACTGGGAGTTCCACATTTACCATTGAATTTATCATTTTTATGAATTTAGGTCCATCCTTTAAATAACATTTTAAAAAAACGTTTCTTGATTCATTCCGGAGCGTCTACTTGATCTACTCCTCTTAAGAGTGCCAAGTAAATTTGGCGATGACCTTGAAAATTGACATTCACCAACAAAGTTGTAATTTTTTTAATTAATAGTATTAGACAGATGGTGAACATCGGTGACAACTTTAAAATTTTAGAACTTATGGATATCGAGAAATTAAATAAACAAAATCAGTCTTATACACGGCCTCTTATGGAGTTTTGATTAAATTGAACGTTTCAACCCCCTAGGAACTCAAGAAAAATTTGAAAAAATTTGAAGATATGGGGAATGATGTGTTCAATGTGATGGCGACAAAAAACAATGGGGTACCGGGGTGAATAGAGAGATATTTCAACCCGCCGTACCCATTTGATCCCATGCTTTCTCGAGGTTCGTCACGCGAAATAGAGGATTTTCCGCATTCATTTTCTCGATGTCTAGTTCCGGTTGCGGGTTTGAAATTTCGTTGGATGGATGAATACATATTTCTCCAATGATGGAGGGGAAGAAAAAAATTTTTGTGAATCTTTTTTCAAATTCACTTGGCACCCTTAAGTCGATTGCATCTACTTTGATTGAGTGTATCTAAAAAATTTCACGTCGAGGTGGCGACTTGATTTAAGTAGAGCTTGACTTATTTCTAGTTGACCTCTATTTGACTCAAGTCGTCATTTAACTTGAGCGAAGTCGGCGCTTTACTTGAATCAACAAATTATTCTGATGAGTTCATTCAAATGGAAGGTGACTTGATTCAAGTCGACCCCTACTTGACTCAAGTCGATCCCTACTTGACTCAAGTCGACGCGAATTTCTACAAAATAATCTTCGTGAGTCAAGTAGAAATAATATTCGATTCAACTCTACTACTGATATCTACTTGAATGAAGAAATCATTTTAGCGACTTGATTCAAGTATAGGTTTCATTCGGTTACAGAATGAATGAGCAATTGAAAAAAAAATCAATTTTAGATTCTCTCAGAAATAATTATTGGAGAATAAAAATAATAAGGATGTTCTTGCACTAAAAATAATTTTCACTTTTCCCAACAAAAATAATAAAAAATAAGATATTCTCAGAGTGGATTCGCTTGAGACTCTCCACATAAAATTTCTATTTCTATAACTTACAGCGGACAAGATGAAATGAAAAAAATGCTAATGAGCTCGTTAGAGATTGAAAAGAGAACCATTGTGTATTTCCAATGTCGAAGGATCAAATAATGGATGGAAATAAGAATGATCTTGAACTACTGGTCGTCAAGGTACGGAAAGACGCGCAGATTAATTAAAATACAGGACAATTAGTGGGGTTAGTCATTGACCTAGAAAAAGAGCGTGTTTATAATTAGTGAAGAGTGAATAGGGGAGAATTGTCGTGCGACCGCAACTTTCTATTTCTTCGGGGATCCCAATGGAATATATGTGGGAAATCAAAGGGAGAAAATTTATTTTCTGGCTTTGAAATTTAATTGGTGTCACTGACCTGCGCCCATTCATCACCTCATTGACTTTCGTTATTAATTTCAATTTCATTGACAGCGGGGAATTAATGAGGTAGGAAATTGATGGAATAAACAATCAAAAACTATTTGATGTCAGTGACCCTTTCCGCCTATTCATTACCTCACTTATATAAATCCATTCCATTGGAATTGGGAAAATTAATGGGACGGAAATGATTGAGATTTTCCTGGCATTTTTCATTGATGAATACCATTGATAATTTTAAGAGCATTTTGTTATTGTAATTATCGAATCTTCCCAGACACGCCAAAAACCTAGCACTTTCATTAAAAAATTCTATTGGAATTCTATTGAAAATCAGTCCAAATCGACTTCTGGTGATAACAATTTGGTACTCGAAATTAAGAGTCCAAAATTAAGGGTCACAAGGGTCAAAGTAAGGGTCACGAGGGTCAGATTAAGGGTCATGAGGGTCAGAATAAGGGTCACAAGAGTCAGATTAAGGGTCATGAGCATCAGAATAAGAGTCTCGAGGGTCAGGTTGAGGTTCACACACGTGTGATTAAGGGTCATGAGGGTCGGTTTAAGGGTCACAAGGGTCAGATGAAGGGGCCAAATAAGGATAACAAGGATCTAAATAAGGTTCACAGGGATTAGATTAAGGATCACAAAGGTCAGAATAAGTATTGTCGGGGTCATATGGGGGTTGTCGAGCGGAGTGAGCTCCCTAGTTTTTAATAAAATTGGTATATCTTCATTTGTTAGTTTAGTATTATTTCTCTCTATTAATCGCTAGTGGTTATCGGTTGAATTGAATGTGAGACTCTCGTAAAACTGATGTTCTATGATAATTCAGGAGTGACATTCTAAAACGTATCAATTCGATTTTCCACATCTCAATGAAAACCCATTATCTTCACTGAAAAAAAAAAATTACTTTTGCCAAGGAATCATTTTCTTGGGAGAAGAATTAATTTTTTTGGGAGCGTATCTCTCCACGCCACTCATTCACAGGTGGATGAAGTTCATCTGCAAATATTACAATTATGTTGAATTATAAAATGATTATGCTACATATGACCTTCAATGACCACTCTTCATTATTTTTCAATTTCTTCAAATTTGAGATTTTTGTAGGTAAAATAATTTTGAATAATTCTAAATGTTAATGATTGTCAATGGAGTTTATTCGAGGTCATATGTATGTAATGAAAATAATTTCGTGGCAAAAGTAATTTATTGTCTCAGTGTTCATATGTTCATATCATGACATTTCAATTGATGATAGTACTGACATGAAAAAATAGAAGAAGAGAGCAGTGGTGTAAGAACCTATAAAAGAGAATCCATTCAGAAGCGAATTGCTAATTTATGAGCAACAATAACTATACTCATTTATTAAAAAATGCAATGATCCACATATTTTAAAACGAAACCGGATGATTTTTGTAGAATCCATAGATGGTCCCGGAGAGTAAAAATAATTAGGATATTGTTGTAAGGGATGAAGGATTGAAATCACCATTTTATAAACAAATTCATGTATTTGACAACTGTTGGGCCGCCAACAACATAGATAATACGATATAATTCTTTAAAATAAACATACTTAAATCATACGATATATATAAAATAGCATTGTCTCACTTTGATTCTTTGATAGAAAATTTGATACTCGCTGGTGAATTTATTATACAAAATTTTACGACCATGTGATGGCGGGTTGCATCAGTAGTAAGGCCTTCGTGGATTATTCTGCAGCAAAAACACAAAAACATTAAAAAAATTATTCTCTCTCTCTTTAAATAAAAAAATAAACCTCAGAAAACGCATGAACATTATTTTGTGAAGATTTAGAAAATGACTGGGATTTTAAGAATTTACCAAGAATTTACCAAAAATTTCCCTTAAACAATATTTTTAATTTCGAACATTTTCATTTTCAAATTCTTTTTTTCTGTTACATTCCACGAGTTTACGACTATTTTTGTAGATCACCAAATTTTCCATAAAAAATGTTTCACAGCAAAAGTTTCTCAAATTCCTTCTATTGCCAGATATTCATCGAATAATCTGTAAATTTTCAGTTCCTTAGAGTTTGACATTCAACTTTCATTGCAGGCTATAAAAATTGAATAAAAAAGGACGAACACTTCTGTTACGATAAATAATGAAAAATCAATGAGTTCTGACTGTCATAATGCAATTTTCTTGATTAAAAAAAAAGTATCGAATATTTTTCATCCAATTTTCATATTTTATCATTTTATTACATTTATCTTTATCGAAAAATTATATTTTTCATGCAGGAACCCAATTATCGTTGTTTACAACTACACTATCAAATGAAAAAAAGTAATTAATCACCAGAGGGTTCGGTCTAAATCGATATGCGAGCATCATTCTCTTCCTGTACGCGTCAAATTCGTCATCGTCACGTGATATGTTGTCCGGCCTCTCAGACCCTAGACCGGCGCTGTCCAGTCTGCTGGTTGCCCTAGAAAATTTCTCTTTAGTAGATCCCAGACCCTTCACTCATTGCATTGAGAAACAATAAAATTGAGAACGTACTTGTTTACTGGTTCCACACGTCCACTCCCCTCACTGCCCAATCCTTGACCTTCACTCCAGCCCAGTTTCTGTAACATCTGGAAACCTGGACAAAAAATGGGCCCAAAATAATTTCAAGTTGATCGACAAATAAATTCAGTAAAAAGTACAGGGAAACGAGGCTAACTGTCTTCAATGGTCAATGTCTAGAGATAGATAGAGTGAAATCCACTTTTTTTTGTTTATTTTCAATAAAAAATTTTCAAACTTCAAAATGAAAAGACATTCGTTAAGATCGTATCGTTTTATCGGAAAGTATTGGAGATTGAAAAATATGAAATGGTGAAACGTAATGAAAGAGCGAAAATATTTTGGTTTCATTAGAAATTGAATTCTCTCGAGAACGAGTGATTGAATGACAAAATTGCAATAGACGTTTCTTGTGGAAAATTTGATTGATAAAATCAATCCAATTATTCTTGTCTGTTTATTTCATGAGTTTATGACTGCATTGAAAGTATAGTTTCCATTTTCTCAACTCTTTCTAACAGTTATATAATTTACTAAAACCGAATATTATTCTTATCAAGTCATAATAAATCATCCTGAAGACAAAAAATCAATTATGACATAATTATGATCATCATAAACATTCGTCTGTAGAAAAAGAAAAGACACTGATTTTTTTTTAATTTCATGCTAAAAAAAATAAAGGCAATAAAAATAAAAAATTGGAATTATTATTCTTTTTTGTAGCTTTTCACGAGTGCACGACTGCATTAATTAAGTGAAGTAATTTCCATGTTCTAAAATATTTCTAACAGATACTATACACTCTCTTAACCCTATTAAGTCATAATAAATCTTCCTAAAGACAGAAAATCCATTATGACATAATCATTATGAACACGAACGTACGTTCAGAGAAGAAAAAGACATTTTTTCCACAAGAAATTTCATGCTCTACAAAAAATGTTTTTTTAACATTTTATCGTGAATTGCTCATCCCCGAAATAAACACAACTAAAATGAAAAATTGGAATTATTATTCTTCATCATCTTGCTAATGATATTGAAGCTGGGAAATTGCAATCAAATGTTGCACTTGATTATTTCACGATTGCATAAAAAGTGTAATTTCCACGTTCTAAACTCTTTCCAACGGTGATATAATTCATTAAAACCGAATATTAACCTTATTAAGTCATAATAAATCATCCTAAAGACAGAAAATCCATGATGACATAATTATTATCAACATGAACGTACGATTAGCGAAGAAAAAGGCATTTTTTCACGAGAAATTTTATGCTCTACAAAAAGTTATTTTGACATTTTCATGATCATCTTGCTAATGACATTAAAACTGGGAAATTTTAATCAAATGTTGCATTTTACGATCTCACAACTTCATCAAAAAAGGTCATTTCCAGGTTCTAAATTCTCAAGTCATAATAAATCATCCTAAAGACAGAAAATTCGTTATGAAATAGTTATTACCGATATGAACGTACGTTCAGGAAGAAAAACACATTTTTGTCCCACAAAAAATTTCATTCTCTACAAAAAAGTTATTTTGCCTTTTTTCCTAAAATCGCTCGTCCACGAAATGAGGACAACAAAAATGAAAAATTGGAATTATTATTCTTCATCATCTTGCTAATGATATTGAAACTGGGAAATTACAATCAAGTGTTGCAGAAAAAAAACCATTTCCGCGTTCTAAACTCTTTCCAACAGTGATATAATTCATTAAACCCGAATATTAAGCCATAATAAATCATCCTAAAGACAGAAAATCCATTATGACAGAAGTATTACCATCATAGCCATAAGTTTGCAAAGACACTTTAACTGAAAGACACTTTAACATCCCGAAATTATCCTAAACATTGCAAAAACACTCGAACTGAAGAGCCGACGAGAACATGCCCCTAGGATTAATCTAATGGTTTTATAATATCTCAAAATTATCTCCATCATTACCTATATTATCTTCCTTAAGTTTGTACTCCTTGTAATCACTGAGATCAGGCTCCTTTCCCTGCTTGAGGGCACTGTACTGTTCCATAAACTTCTTGAGCTCATCCGGTGGCAAGAAATCGCCAATATGATGTTTACCCTCTGCCTGAGCTGTCAACTCGTCAGCCCATATTTGCGTTGCCTCCATCTCCGCTGATCTTATTTTATGCTCCCATGTGCCACCTTCAGTCTCCTCGTCACTGTCGTATTCGTATTTATGCTTTCCCTGGGATTCTAAGCGTTTCACTTCTTCTCGTTTTTTCAATAAATTTTGGTAGAGGAGATTGATCTGGAAACACAACGACAAGTAATCAATGAAAAGAGGGTTGAAGAGCGTTGAGATTTTCAATCTCAGGATTTGTCTATTGGATTGGGTAAACATTTGGGGGAATTCATGAATGAAAAATACGATTTTTACATTTCGTTGTATAAATAAATATGTAGGGTGAAAGATTGATTTTTGATGAATTGTTAATGGAGAATTAATCTCCAAAATGTGCAATTTTCCTTTCACTTTATGCGCCTTCAATTAGTTTTTTTTTTTTGGTAAACATTCAATTATGTCGGAAATGAGCGAGTTTATGAGAAAATGTCAAAAGGCCTTTTTTGTAGAGAATTCAATTTTCAACAAAAATTTGTTACTGACATTTCCTCTCAAAATCACTAATTAACGAGATAATTTAATTTCTATGTCACGAAATATTTTGTATTCAAGTATTTTTCACTTGAATTGGGCGAGCAATGGGGGAAATGCAATGAATGAAGAATTCTATTTTGTTTGAATTAATATATATAAATATAAATTTCTTGTATGAATAAATATCTAGGGTGGAAGATTTTGTTTCGATGAATTGCTAATGGAGCATTAATCTTCGAAAATTGCAATTTTTCAAATATTTTATAAATCTTCCTGAAGAATTTCGAAATTTTTTCAATTCCGAACGGATGAATGGTCAATTTGTATTTTTTTTTTTCAAATGTAATCATTTAGAAGCGAGTGAATATTTTGATATTGTAAATATAATTTGAGCCTATAATTAGCCTCCTCTGTTGGGTCTAGAATAAATAAATAACAAATGTTCCGTTATCTTGGAAATGAGTGGTTTTAAAAGGAAATGTCAAAAGGCCTTTTTCCAGAGAATTAAATTTTCAACAAAAAATTTTTCCTGACATTTTCTCTCAAAATCACTAATTAACAAGATAATTCAATTTCTATATGTCATAAAATATTTTATATTCTCGTGAAGAGAGTGATCAACCAAAAATGTAGACAATTACCTTGTAATGATCCTCAGCTTTTTTCCACTGCTCCTCACTTAGATCCAACGTCCCAAAGGTCTGTCTGGCGTACTGTATCAACGCAGGATCGTTCCTACATATTTTCGTGAGCATGGGATTCTTTCCTTTGGTATTCTGGCCCTTCGGTGGCATAACCGGCAGTCCCTGGCCAGGGAGAGCCAGTCCTGGCGGACGAATGGGCATTGTCGGAGGTACACCAGGAATAACTGGTGAGACTATCACCCCGGGAATAGAAATCTTATTATCTGGCTCACTCCAACGACTCCGTCGCTTTCGTTTTCGTTCTTCTCTGCTTTCCTCCTTTGACATGTCTACAATCAAACAAAATATATTTTTTAATTAAAATAAAGGGTGTAGAGTCATAATTAATTTATGCATTCATATTTTTATTGATTTAGATAAATTTATTTAAATCAAATAACGGAGCTTTTATTAAAAATTAGATTTGATTTTTATTGGCGTTTTTATTCACATGAAATAAAGTTTAAAAAAAACACAAACGAATATTTCTTTGATACAAATAAAGACTTCATCAGTTACAAATGAATTAATTTTTCAGATACCGTGAGAAGGAATTTACTAGCATGTAATAACCCTTTATTTGGATCAAATAAATTAAGTATATTCGAATTCAATGAATAAATTTGGAATAAAATCGTCTAGTGTGATTGATGGACTCTTTGAAGGATAGTGGAGTGATAGAAATTAAAAATAAAACTAGAACAAGGAACAAAATAAATGAAATTTATTTAAATCAAATGACAGAGCTTTAATTCAAAATTAAATTTGATTTTCACTCACGTTTATTCACAGCAAACAAAGTTTGAAAAAAACACAAACGAATTTTTTTAAAATTTTAATAAAGACTTTACTAGTTAGAAATGAATTAACCCTGTAGAAGAGAACGAATTTATTGGTCTGTAATAATCCTTTATTTGAATCAAATAAATTAATTATATTTGGATTCAACAAATATTATTCAACAAATTGTCTTATGTGATTTATGAACTCTTTGAAGGATAGTGAAGTGACAGAAATTGAAAATAAAAATAGAATAAGGAACAAAATGAATAAAATTTCACAATAAAATAATGAAGGAATAATAAAAATTTAATTGCTCACCACTCTGTGATAAACTTTTAATAGTTGTTTTATCGACATCGTCATTGTCACTGAGTGCCTCTTCCGGGCAGTATGGTTCAGCCCCAGCGCCCTTCTTACTCCCATCTTTATCAGCCTTTTCAGCCCGAAATTTGGCCACCAATCCCCTGTACTGCAGATACGCTGCACTTTGCTTTTGGTGCAGAAACCTTGATTAAAACAATACTTAAAACTCTGTCGAGTGAAATTTACGCCTAATGAAGTATCCAAATTACTGATTTTATTCTTTGTCAATCATACGATTACGAGAAAATGCCAAAATTTCATTACTGTACCAGAGAATATTATAAAAATTTGTAAATACAAAACAATACGGAAATTAATGACATAAGGCCCGCGTGTATTATGGTTCGAACCTGATCTTAGTGGTTTTTTTTTTCATAATCTGAAATTTTTTCAGTTACCATTCAGTTTTACATAGCCCTAGAATTATGATTGTATAATTAAAAAAACTGGAACATTTTCAAAGAGCGTTTTTCAATAGTATTGGGAAATAAACCCAATAGGGAGGATATAGCAAATTCATTATTTACTGCATTTAATGATTGTTAGGTCGTCATTTGCCGCAGTAGGAAATGGTTGTCAGATCGTTGCCATGATAAATTATCCATTTACAATTTCCTCTCTGGCGGAATTCTTTCCCAATCTTTTGTAGTCGAACATCAGACCTTTCATTTGAGCCCCATTTGACCCTAAATTTCCGGACATTTTACAATGATTTTATTATTTAAAATTTGCAAGTCCGAATTTGAATCTCGATATTGAACCGTTGAACAACATTTTGGTACATTTTATAAATCTGAACAAAATTAGAAAGTTTAATTTTGGAGGAAGATTGATGAAATAATAAAAAAATGCAATTTCTGAAAATTACCCGCATTTTTTATAAATAATTTATAAACATCAACTTTCCACCATGAAAATCATTTGTTCGGAATTGTAACAAATTTATTCATATTCCGAATTTTACCAGAAATCGATTTCATGCCTAAAAGTTTAAATAATTTCAATTATTCATTTATAACAACAACAAATATATAAAAACAATAATAATTCTGTGCAAATATTATTTGAATGGCCCTAAATGTTGATGATTTTTTTCAAATTTTTCGCACACAATTTAATTGACAAATTTGATTATTGAAAATGGTTGAATCTATAGTATGGTGTGTACCAAACTGTAAAAGATACTTGGATATCCTTAAGGTATATCGCAAAACAATACCACCGAAAAGTTAGTCCCTATGGATTTCCGAAGAAAATTGTAAATGACGTAATTGATTACATTCTCATAAGTTATTGAGTTTTTCTATCCTCATATGTTGTTGATGAAGGCAACCATAACTGTTTAAATCACATAGGAAATGATTCACAAAATTTCCATTTTTTAAAGTTGAATATCACAGAAAGTGGGGACTATAAGATTTTACAAAAAAATCACCGTATTCAAAATTTACCAATCTACCATGGATTCATTTTTTAAGACCGTCGGAAGAACCGTTTTCTGATAAGATGAAAAAATTCGAGTTCGGGGGGACCCATAACCCCTGTTTGGCCTGTGCCTCGCGTGTTAGTTAGATTTTATTTCAATAGCTGGGGAATATTAAAAACATTGTCCATGAAAAACATGGAGACAATCATGACAAAAACCTGTTTTCTAGGAATATACCTTAAAAACGCTCTTTGAAAGTGTTCAGTTTTATTTCTACTTTTTTTATCGTTCACTCATAATTTTTAGGGACCTCTGCGTGATGCAAAATCCGATGGAAAATGTGATGTTTTAGATTATGAAGATGGAAACAATCGAGATAACGTTCGAAAGGTACTCCACCTGAGCCTTAAAAAAGGGATTGAATTATTTACTCGTGAATTAATTCTCGAGTCATTCTCTCAATTATTTACGTGAATGTACAAGATAATTAGAACAATTTCAGGGAAAAAATGGAGTGAATTCATAGAAAAAACGAAAATAATGAAAAAATCATCATTACAGAAATTTAAAAAAAATTTAATTTCTAGAAACTTATTCTGCTGCAATGCAAATGGGGATCTTCCAATGAAAATTGAATGAAATACTAATTCAGACTTGATTTTCTGAAACTGTGAAACCGCTGGAAAGCCCCCAATTACATAATTGTACTAAAATACCATCTAACAATAGCAAAAACGTTTGATTATCTCATTGAGGTCGCAAGAAAGCTTAACAAGTGAAGTAAGCGCAAAGCTTAGGAATAAATTCAGTGTGAAGTAGGTGGGTGGACAGACGTATCATCAGTGACATTAAAAGCGATGGACGAATGTGGAATAAAGAATAGTGAGGAATAAATCATCATCCTAATTAACCCATTAAAGAGGAATTTCAGGTTCAGAATAATATCGAATTGGAAGTCTTTACGATGGAATAAAATTTTAAAAATTACCTTTTTTTTCGTTTTTCAAATCATCAATGTTATTGATTTATTTTTAATGTTGTTTTTTGAGATAAGAAAATAAACAAACAAATTATTTCTTTGAACGTTTTTTTTCAAAATAGTTCTCATGAATTTCACATAAGTAAGAAGAATTTGTGAACAAACACTGAATATTCTTCATTAGTTTATTCAACAATTGACGATTAACTGTGATTTAATAAATTTCGAAGGAGTAAATTCAGACGTTAGTTGAATAAAAAAGCTTCTAAAAAGTAATTATTTGAGAACAAGTCGAACTGCAGGGAAAAAAAAATCTTGAAATGAGAATTAATGAGAAAAGATAATGTTCGAAGGGAATTAACAATAGGTCACTTGAGGAAGTGATAATTTACAAATAAACTGTGAATTGTGTGGATTAAACTTGTTAGTTGAATGTGAAGTATTCAGTGTGATAAGCACAAGTGGAAATGGGGAATTTTAATGCATGCTGAAGGAGTCAGTGAGGACAGTAGTTACCAGAGCTTGGGATCTTGGGCATTCTTCTCGCGTACTTCTTGCTCAATGGCATCCCCACAGTCAGCCACTATTCTCGCCAATTGTTCAGCTTCTACCGGGCAATTACGACCTGAAAACAATACCAAAATCAGTCAATAATTCAATAAAAATCTAGGCTTTAAAAAAAAATTGTCGAGATTAATAATTTACTTTCATTAATTAATTAAGATTATTGAAAATATCATCAAAATCCTCAGTTCCAGAGGAAAAACTGAACAATTGCATTTTTTTATGAATGAGTATGGTTATTGTTGCTAATAAATGAGTGATTTGCTCTCGAATGGATTCGCTTTTTTTATAATTCTTATTTCACTATTCTCCTTTTCTATTTTTTCATGTATAGTACTATTATCAATTGAAATTTCATTAAAATTTTGCGTATTATTTCGTTGTGTCAAATGTTTCTACATTCAAATCCTCTCAAGACTTTAATTCGTTTTCAGTCCGGGTTCAATCAAGGTTTAATCAGTATATAGCCGGGATTTAATCAGGGTTTACTCAGGATTTAGTCAGGCTTTAACTCAGGTTCTGTCAGACGTTGGTCGGGAACATGAATCAATATGAATAAGTATTCAACATACACTAAGAAAAAAAAAACTATTTTCGCGAAATATCCATTTACTCGAGAGAAGTATTTATTTTTGCAATACCGTATTTCTCCAGTCGAGTCATTCCCAGGCAATCCTCATTAGGTTTCAATTACGTCAATTATAATGCTCTAGAAGATGATCATCTAGTTATGGCCTTGAGTGAACGCCCTCAATAAGTATCAACATTAAAAAATTAGTGGGAATTCTTTCTTCTAAAAAATAAGAAATTTAGGAAAAATACATAATCATTAGAAGAGTTCATTCAATGTCATGTGCAACATAGTCATCCTCTAGATCAACATGATTGTTATAATTGAAACTCAGTCAGGCTCGTCCAGGAATGATTCGATTGAAGAAATACGATTTTTAAAAAATGAATACTTCTCTCAAGTAAATGAATATTTGGCAAAAATAATTTTTTTTCTCAGTGTAGAGATACATTTGATATAAAAATCTCATGACGGTATTGTATAACTTGATAAGCAATGAAGCTGTTCTCACCATTTTTCAACTTGATTAAGAAGGCATTGAAATATACTTTTTAAGTTCTGATTCAATTGATATTACTGGTATTTCTGGCATGGAAAAAAAAACGATTTTCTCTTTCAAATTGCATATACAATGTGCTGCAATTCAACAACGAGTTATGCGATGCCCATCATATTCAGACAGAATCAAGAGGATATTATTATCAATTTTTTGAGCTATGACTAATTCCATTTTGATAAAAAAATTTTGAATGATCGTTGAACAATCGATTTTTGGAAAAATATCAATTTCCTTGAATTTGTATGAGAAATTGAATTTTAATTGGTATCAATGAATAGAGTTTATTCATGAATAAATTCACAAAATTCAATTGATTCTTTAAACGAAAATTTCGAAAAAAAAAGAAACAAACGACCACATTTAGTTACCCTAACCCAAAAAATTGTAACCTAAATTGGAATTCCAAAGGTTTCCATTCGGAAGCAAAACCCCACCAATAATAATTTACCTGAAACCCCTCCAGCAATATTAGGCGCGGGTGCCCTCGCGGGTGGTGGAACCTGGACATTAGCCACGGGGAACCTGGTTCCCATAATACACCCAGCGCCTCCATTCCCCTGAATGATCCCAGGTGGCACACTGGGTGGTGGAACATTGAGATTGGGTGGTGGTACCGTTGGCACAGCATTGATTCCCCCGACCGCATGGACAGGTGGTGGTGCCGAGATGATGATCGGTGGCATAACCGGTGGAGGAACATTAGGAACACTGGGAACACTGGCCACCCCGATGTTGCCCGACGTCGTCACCAGGGGGTTCAGCCCCACCATGTTGGGTGGCATCTGTGTCATAGGAGGCAGAAGCCCTGGTGGAGGAACATTTGTGGGAATAGTCGGTGGGATTGTCCCTTGGAGCCCCAGATTACTCATTCCTCCACAGGTCTGAGGGACGAGATGTTGAGGGGTCGGTGGAACCTGCGTCAGGTTCTGCATGGGAATACTCGGTGGTGGAACCGTGGTATTGGGAACAGCTGGTGGGAGTCTAATGGGTGGAGGTGGCGGTCTGATCATGTGGGGAAGTGGCAGGGACATCCTGGGTGTCTCCACGGGGAAGGCCTCGGTCTTCATGGGGATCTGAACGATAGGAGCCCTAGGAGCACTGACAGGATTGATGTTCCTGAGGGTTGGAGGTGGAACTTTAGTCATCTGGATGATGGGGGGAGGCACCAGAGGGGCCACTGCAGGCGTCTGTGGACTCTGGTGGCACTGAGGGGGGAATTGGGGACGGGGACCGTTCACTTGGTGGTAAGGAGGCCTCCTAGAGTCCGGAGAGGGCGAGGATCTGTGCCTAGGGGGCGACGGACTGGAGGAGGAGCTTCTTCGACGCTCGGAACTCCTGCCCCAACGGCTCTCGTTCCTTCGTCTGTCTCTTCTCTCCCAGTCCCGGGTCTTTTCACCGTTCCATCGCCTCTCGCGGGAGTCGTAGGTCCTCTCTGTTCTCTCGTTTCTATCCGCTCGATCCGACCTATCTTCACGCTTTTCTTCCGGCTTTTGGGGGACTTCGGGCTTTGTCGATGGGGCTTTATGTGCTATTTTCTTGAATTGGTCTAGGAAACTACCGTCGTTGGCGAATAAATTGACGGTGGGCTGGGACGTTGGCTTCTCGTCCTCTTTCCTATAAATAAAACTTATCTCTAATCGCTGGTGACCTAGAGACTTTTCGAGGGAATCAGCTGAGTGATTGATGTTAGGGGGGTTGAGTGGGTGGATTGAGCTCACGATTGGAGGTGGATTATTTTTAGGGGGTAATGGGTTGTTCTCGTGACATTGAGGGGTCTGGAAGCGCCTGGTTTCGGTGGGATGAATATGATTTTATTGCATGGAGTATTGTAAATGCCAGTGGAGGAAGATGAGATTGACGGAATTATGATGATGCTGAAATTAGGGGTGTCTAAATATTTTGAAACTATGTGCAAACTCGTTCGCACTTGAAAAACAATTGTACAATTGATTTTTCGATCCTTATACTCTTAAGAATCCCCTGAATTGAATCATCTTAGTTTCAGCTTGATGAAAATAAGAGTTGATTTGTTTGTATTGTTGACATTTTAGAGATGTTAAGGGTTCTGTTTTTCAGCTGATGACATTTTTAAATAAATTTAAGTTGTATGTAAATTATCTGGTGATGTTTTCGACTGGAATCTATCAGTGGAATGATTGAATGTTGAAGAAGTGGAAAATTTAAGGGTTCGATTTTTTTTCCATTCTATATTTTCCAGTTGATAGCATGAATAATTCATGATGAACTACTTATTACAAAGATGAAATGACATTTAACAAGACGTTTAGTAGTATTTTAGTAGTTATTTAGTAGGAGTTTAGTAGTCTGGTGGTAATTTCCAGAAGAGCAACATTGGATTCGCTTCAGGGAGGAAAAAATCATGAAATTCCAGATTTCACTGAAAATTCTAAGGAATTCGAAATATTTTTCGTAGAAAGAAAGCAGAAGTTTATTGACTTACTTCAATTTTCAATAAAACAATGAATGTTCAGTACGACATTGAAATTTCAAGATTATATTTTTATTGGAGTTTTCCTGATCTTTATTAATTTTCGTCTAATAATAAATACACTCTTCATCTCACTATGAGTGAATAGTTTATTAGGAATGATTGATGATAAATTACTCATTAACAAGATAAAATAGAATTCAACAAGACGTTTAGTAGTAGTTAAGTAGAAATTTACAGACAAGCAACACAGAATTAGATTCAGGAAAAAAAATCGTGGAATTCCAAATTTCACTGAAATTTTAACGGAATTCAAAATGTTCTAGTAGAAAGAAGACAAGAGTTCCTCAACTCACTTGAATTTTCAATAAAAAAATTAATATTCAATACCAAATTGAAAATTCAAGAATGTATTTTCATTAAAAATTTTCAAACTTCTATGAATTTTCATGCAATAATTGAACTACCATTTTCAGTTTCTACTTTTTTCGATTTCCAAGAATAGTCAGAAATTTTGGCAAATAAATTTTTTTAAGTGACAGATACCCTCAATCCTCCATTAAATATCATCATCTTTCAATTCAAAAAGTAAAACAAAATATCTAAGAATATCATAACCCAAAAATAAATGAAAATACTTCAAGAATTCCTCCCACCATCTCCATCAACACACCAAAATCCCATTAAAAACCTTTAAAAAAAAACCTTTAAAATATTTTTCCCTGTAGTATTCCCACTATCTTCAAAATTCCTCATCACTAAGATAATTTCTCATGTATTGAGCCTCGTTATTTTTACATTTTTGAATTTTACCAAAAAATCTCAAAAGGCCTTTTATGTAGTTTTCAAAATTCCCAACAAAAAATGTCTTTTAAAATTCCTTCCCAATACCATTCATTACCGAGATGATTTCACATGAAAAAAATTAACTTCTTTAAATTGTGAAACTAGACCATTTTGTTAATCATAAATTTCATAAACAGCTAATTTAATTTAAAATAAAATGAAAAAAATTTTTTTTCCATGATAACTATACTTTTTCCCCTTTAAAATGAGCCTAGACTGATCTCAATTAATGAATTTGTTTCTGAGTTATGAGTATCACAAAAAAAGTCAAAAGGGGCCGTTTCACACCACTCTCCCTTACGAATTTCATAAATTATTAATTAAAAACTCAAACTAGTCCAATATTCGCCACACAGAAAACTGACCTACGACCTCCAGTCATTCATCAATACAAATATTATCCCCTTCAACCCAAAATGTGAAATAAAATTCAATGTTCCCACAAAACTTCAAACCGCATAACCCAAAAATTAATTAATGAGATGAATGAATTAAAACCCTCCAAGAATTCCCAATCATCTCCATCGACCCACCAAACCCCATCAGAAACGTTAAAACGTCACTCCAATGAAAAAAAATCTACTTACTTGACAGCAGAATTATTTTTCCCCGCAGTACTTGCACTATTCGCCGACGATTTTTTAACATTCTCAGAGGCCTGTTTGCTCTTCATCTCCTGCATTTTCGCCTGAATTTCCATTTTCTTCTGCTGTATAATTTGCTCCTGCTTGGACATTTGTGCAAAACGCTCATTCCTCGAGGTTTTTGACACAAATGGATCGGAGCCCTTCACCCCACGATACGCCATGTTTCGTATTTCTTTCACCAAATTCTATTTTTCCACCAAATGTTTTGGATGTTTTTTGTCTATCAGGAGACGATTGTGGAGACCATTGATGGCATTGATGTGAATTCGGTCACTGCAATTACGTCTAGTACCTCACGAAGGTGCACTCGCTAATTTCGTCATTGTGCAGTTGTTCTCAGATTATTTTTTACGAGTGAATAAAAATGTTGAAAAATGAGTTTTATTTTTGTTTTAATGCCCCTGATGGCAGGTTACGTACTGCAATGGGTCACTGATAGCCCATGATAGCCACTGTAATGCTAGGATTCGGCCCTGGATGAAGACGCGCATGCTCCCAGGGGCAGCGCTTGTCACGTGACCAGCGGCGCAGGCGCGATTGACCGGCGCGCTGAAAACTTTGACGAGGTTCTGGTGAATTCGTCGGGAGGGCTATTTTATTTTACATTTTTGGGGGCTAGGGCAGGGAGTTTTGTTCCGGAAAATGAGGTGAGGAGGAATTAATTGGGCGAGAGTGCAGAAAGAATTAGGGTGGAGCCGTATTTTTAGGATGGGGGGTTTGGGGGCGACGGAAGGGTTTTCGTGGTTCTTTTTTTATTTTTGGGGTGAGTTAGAAGGGAAATGGGAATATTGATTTTTTGCTTTGAGAGAATTTTCAGTACGAGGAAAATTGGAGTGTTTGTGAGATTGATTCAGTTTAATTCAATTCTAAGATTATTTCATTCAGTACAACTATTTGTGGAATTTCCCCAGTGGAAATTGCTTCAGGCGAGCCTGAGACTTGATCTTGTCTTGATATGTCGGTGGTCAGATTTGATTGATCAGCTGGTGCTTGATGAGGAACTGATCAATTCTTGATTTAGTCAATCTGATACGAAATACAGTAGAGACTTCGTATAAGATATCTCTCTATAAGATACCTCGCGCTCGAGGGTTACCCCCACTCTCGGCACTTTTATCGCCTCCCGAATATTTATGTTCCATGGGCTTCTTATAAGATACCTATGGCCCCGGTCATTTTTCAACGGGAAGAGAGTAGTTATAAGGATCAAACGGTGTTAAGGGTCAAACGGCAGGGCACGAACGAAGTGATCATGAGGGTCTAATGACCTTAAGGCGGGGTCACACCACTTTTTTCAAGTAATGGAAATGTATTGTTACAGAATGAAATAAATTACCATTTCCCCCGTGTGAATGAGAATGTAATGGAACTGAATAGGCATTAGTATGATTGTAGTTTGTTTTCCCTTCTGTACGAATGTCAGACTGATTGGGGTGTTCGTCTGTTTAACTTCTGTCATTCATAATAAACCGCCCCATTTATTTTGAATTACGTCTCCAATTCATTTTAAAGACATCAAGATTATTACACGATATCAATTTTTCTTTCACTTTTCCCATTGAAAAATCCTAATTTTTCGTCTGTGATTATCTCGAGTCCACCAACAATCCTCCAACATCAGCTGTCATTCTATCACGCGGGGTTATGTTTAGAGAGAACAGGGAACGCGGACGATACAAATTCAAAAAATTAAACACATAAATTGATTAGTTATCGATATTCATCTAGTAAAAATGAAAATTTCATTGAATTCGGGCGCAACGAACGAGGTATCTTATTTGAAACCCACTGATCCCTATTTTTCTCCTCTCTATAGGTGAAATTTGCTAATTTATTAGCAAAAATAACTATACTTTATGCAATACAAGAGCAAATTCTCATTTGTTTTTTTATTGAGTTTAGGGAATTAAATATATGTTTGGGGAAAATCAGAATTTTTGAAATACAGGAAAAATGCGATGATTATTAAGGGAGAATGAGGCAAAATGAAAAGGCCTTTTTCGACATAGTACGCAAATATGGTTGAGATATAATTTCGAATTTCCTTCACAAGATACATGAAAATGAGATTTTCTTAAAATAATAAAACTCCTTAATTGAAATAAATAAGTTGTTTTATTGAATGCAATAAAAATTTCATTTGCAGTTAATAAATTGTTTATTTAATATAATTGAATCCTATCTTTTGCAACAAGTAAGAAATTACAAATAAAGATTTTTATTCCATTCAAATGAACCACTGTTCTGGACGTAATTTTATCTCTGAAATTTTCTCGTACGTGCTTCTTCTCCAAATTCTAGGATAATGAATTCCTACTGTGAAATAGATCATGACTACTTGAAGTCGCCGTACTACGTCACACCCACATCAAAGAAATTACACTCATGTCAGATAAACCCGACATGGCCACTTGTTTGATCATTATTGTTACCACAGAAACCACTGGTTGGAATCCTGCAGGATGAAATGTAATTACCTCCAGTATTGAATGTGCACCGACCACATGAACATCAAGTTCATGGAAACCTCAATTACGAGCAAATAGATACCTGAGTGATGTTTCAATTATTCATAAACAATATTTAAACTCAATGAACTGCCTGTGAACAATTGGATCTGAAAACCATCACACGTATGAACAAAACCATGGCCAAGCCACGGATTTTTATGGTCATTTCATGGTTTTTGGTGGTCATTTGGTGGTCATTTGGGACGTGTCCGTAGCCAGGGGGGGAGTGATAATATCGGGCCCCCGACTTGATCCCTGCGAATTGGCCCCCATTTTGCCCCTCAATAATAATTGGCCCTCAGTTTGACCCTTATATTTTGACCCCTATTCTGACCCTCATATTTTAATTCTTATATTTTAACCCTTGTATTTTGACCTTCACATTTTGACCCGCAGAGGATCAAAATGGGAAGGCCCGAAGACCTTAGATAATAGCAGTCCTATAGAAACCCTATAGAATTCCAATAGAATTTTCCAGCGAATTCTCTGGGTTTTCAATTGAATTTTGTCATACGTGTTGCGTCGTTAGATCGTTCATAAATTATGCTAGCGTATAAATTATGCTAGCGTATATTAAAGATATTACGATAATGCTGTATCACATTATATTCTATACTGTACTATATTATGTAGGGGAGAGTGGGCCAAAATGAAACATTCAAAAAATCGACTGTTTGACGCAATTAAATATTGTTTTTGTCAACTTTTTTTAATTCTTGGGAGTACTGATGAGAATAATAATTTTTCATTCAATAGAAAAAAATATTATTCCCATCAGTACTAGCAAGAATTAAAAAAAAGTTGATAAAAAAAAATATATGATAACAAATTTTTTTTTTGCTTGAATTGCGTGAAACAGTCGTCTTTATTTCATTTTGCCCCACTTTCCCATATACTATGTATAATGTAAAATATATACGAGAGTACTATATGTATTATATATAATACATTATACAATTATAAAATTATCATATATAATACTATATTATAATATAGTATAGTGTAGACATAGAATATAATATAATAAAGTATTATCGCAGTATCTTTAATGTATGCTATCATCATTTATAAGAAAATCTAGTGACACAATACGCCGAATAGATTGGCTTCAAAAAAAGTTACACTGTTAAATCTCATTTATTATAATTGTAAAAAAAAAGTAAAAAAGTGACTATCTGGTTTTCTATTCTTATCTAATCATCTACACTAGAAATAAAATATGGAGCGCGACATATCGCTATGCAGAATGCGAACAATTATTGCGAAATTGACATCCCGAGTCGGTGAATCACTCGACGCATTCGGTCATGAATACACCAGAGAGGATCAGACAGTTTTATCGAATTTAATCAAAACTCTGAGACACCTGGGTCGTATCATTGAGACCAGAATGAGAACATCACCCAGAGAGGAACGTGAGCGAGCATCCAATTTAGCAACTGCCCTCGTGAATGGGAAGAAAGCTCTCCAGGAAGTTGAGAGTGAGTGCATGCCCGTATGGATCGATTTTTCAGAAGGCACATAGTTACACGTACAACAAAATTGCATGGAAAAACCTAGCGAATTAGTTGGAAAATTCTATTCGAAAGATTCCACAGTTTATCTGCGCATTTTCTTTCTGAGAGAAATGTTGAATAGAAAATATTCCACGGAAAAAACAATAGAATTCAATTTTTCTATACGATCTACGCCGTTGAGATATTTTCTGTTGAAATTTCTCGGCTCAAATTTTCAAATTTTTTTGGTTGATTTTTATAAAGAAAAGAAAAGAAAAATAAAGTAGAAAAAAACTGAAAAATTCTTTTTGAATGATTCTATAGAAAATCTCCCAATAGAAAAAGTTGTATAGGAAGATGGAACTAATCGGATTTTCTCTATAAAATAGTTTCTATTGGACACTTGCTATTTAAAAAAAACGCGCAGTAAAGATGCGGAATTTTTCAATAGAAGCAGTCAAAAACTAATAGAATTTTTAATAGAAGTTCAATACAAATCGGATAGAATTGACTCTCGAATTCGCTGGGTTTTTGTATGGAAGTTTTTCTGCAGCTTTTTGCGTTGTTTTTATTATGAAATATCTAACAGGAACTTTTTTTATAGAAAAAATCAGTAGAATTAGATCTTTCTATACAACTTTTTCCATTAAGACGTTTTCTATATGATTTCCTCGACATAAATTTTCTATATTTGGTGGCTCCTCATCAAAAAGATTTAATAAAAAGAGAACTAGAGCCGAGGAGTTTCTATAGAAAATATGTAAATATAGAAAGTAGTATTGATCAAGTTCAGTGAAAAAAATGTGGAGAAAATCTGTAGAATTTTTTAATAGAATCGACGAAGAACTATTCGATTTTTTAATAGAAGCTCCATCGAAATTCTATAGATTATTTTTCTCACTCGGATTTCAGCCAATCAGAGCGCAGTATTTGAGGCTGTCAAATAGTTTTATTTCGGAAATTTCTAAAAAATTTCCGACGGAAATTCACTAGTAGCTTTTCAATGTTTCTCATCTTTCAAATCATTTCACGTTTAATATTCTGTGTGACAGATAAACAAAAAAGTGGGTTGTAAATGTATGGCTGTGTAAATGTATGCGGATGCTGTTCACTGCACTCGGCTTGGCCGAAATCCGAGTGGAAAAATAATCCGTCAAATACCACTCGTGCTTCAAAATTAATCGTATATTTTCCTCAAGCTTCCCTGCCTAGGAACGAAGCTATCGGAAAATATCCGATAATTTTGAAGCACTAGTGGTATTACAACTGAATATTTCAGCGAATTAATTACGTTTCTCTATAAAATTGTTTCGGGCGTGTTTTCTTCAAGTTTTGAAGAGCACCCTGGAGGACACGCGGCTGGAGCATAGAAACTCGGTGGACCGAGTTAGGGAAGAAATTAATAGGGAAAGGGAATTGTTGGAGGGAATTGAGTTGCAGCAGACACTGAAAATTAAGAGGAGAAGGTTAATTTTATAATGTTTTAATTGAAACATAACTCAAGAAATTAAGTAGAATTTCATTTGGAGTAGAAATTTATTTTGAGTAGAAATTCATTTCACTTCAAGAATTATGAAACAACTCGCAAATGTTTTAGTGAAATTTATGTTTATTTTAATTTTTTCTATCAATTTTTACAAACGGTTGAGTAAAATTTAATATTTTTGCTTTCTATAATTATTTTCTTATTGGAGAAATCCATGATGAACAATTTATCGGGAATTTACTCAAATTCAATTTTATAAAGTTAATCTTTAATTTAATTTATAGAATTTAATTCAATTAAATTCCCTATAAATTCAACTGCAAAATTGTCATTTGAATATTATTGATTGAATTCCTCATTGGAAAAAAAATGGAATTATAAATTCCACTGCTGTCATTTTTTATTCATTCTCGTGTTGTTTTTCAATTGAAGATGCTCTTTGGATTCTCTTCATTTGTCGATTTTATACGGTAAATTTCTGTGTTCGTAATTCTGGATTCAATGGTTTTATTTTATTTACATCAGAGAGGAATTGGAGGCACAGATGAGGGCGGTAATGGATGAGACACTGATTGAGAAGCGACAGAAAGCGACTGAGATTGAATTGAGAGAGATTGAATATCGGAGTATTTGTGCGGAAAATTTGAAAAGGGAGAAGGAGGTCTACGCTACGAGGTGAGATCCATCATTCAAGTGTCTTATCCCTCGTTTTTTCTTTTTCATTGAGGTAGGAGTGGTCCCTTGGGTAACTCAACCTGAAAGAAATGTTATTTCTCCCAAATGGATTCATCTGGGACGGGTGTGCATTCCATTTAGCTCTGCACAAAATCTTGATTTGATTCGCAAAGTTCTGACGAGAGAATTCCACCTGATGACACGAGTGGACAATGGAATTTTTTTATAATTGCGTACAGTAATTCAGTAGTGAAGTGGTCAATCGGTTCAAGGATAAAAGGGCGAGGAGGAAATGTAGGAGGTGAGGCGGAGGGGTTTCTCTTGTTTTCCTGCAGAAAACCGATCGTTGAACAAAAAAATTGTTCGCTTTTGGATTCAAAATTCAGGCAATATTAGGGAGTATCTCCGGTTAAAAATTATTTTTGGAGCTAATCAATTTATTTGTATCTGTTCCACGCATTAAATGGTTTTCAGATTGTTTTTTTTTCAACAAATGAAAAAATATTAATCCATGCGAAAAAGTGGCAACATCGTCGATAGTTCTTTTTTCACCAGGAGCTGGTACCACTGGCTCGAGGGAGCTCCAATCACAACGCTTCATTGCTCTCAAGAGACGTTTAAATTGACCGCGCTACCCCTACCCGATCGGTACTGCGCACAAATTTCATTTTTCAGTACTTTTTTCGCTATTATTAATAAACAATGCTTCTAGGCGACAATATTTTTCACTCACAAAATCATTCATCACATGTTCTAAATGTGTCTAAAGTTTCATGACTTTGGCCGCATTTTTTCCTTGGGTTTTGCTTTTTTTTTGTGATTTCCATAAGATTACGGTTAAATGACCACTTTTTTAAAAATTCATATTAAATTAACCACGCTTCTCAGCAGTCTGAAACTTTGCACACGCCTTTTCCATCATTTAAAGAATACGTAAAAAAAAAAAGAAAAAATGGCTGCTTTTTTTCTAACCCTTGGGGCTCGTCCGATCATCCTTAAGGGGAGACTACTGTGAGTTTTAAAAGTCGTGGGTGATTGGAGTGAGACTTTTCATACGTTGAAGATCGATTATATAGATCTGAAAACGAGTAATTAGTGCAAAAAAATTTCTTTTTATTGTTCGTTTGCCCGAAAACGCTTAAAATGCTAAAAACAGTACAGGGCCTCCAATTTTTGAGATACAAAAGTTTTTTTTTTCAAAATTTTCGGAAAAATGTGTGGAACAACAATTACGAGTCAGTTTTTTGGAATTCGACTGCTACACAGCTGATTTCGTTTTTTTTCACATAAAAAAATTCACTATTTGTATAAAAAAATGCAAAAAAAGCAAATTTAGCCATGTAAGCGGTGAATTAAAAAAAACTAGCTCGTAATTGTTATTCTACATATTTTTTCGAAAATTTTGAAAAACAAAATCATTCGTAGCTCAAAAATTGGAGGCCCTGGACTGTTTTTGGCATTTTAAGCGTTTTCGGGAAAACGAACAATAAAAAAAATTTTTTTTGCACTAATTATTCGTTTTCAGATCTATATAATCGATCTTCAACGTATGAGAAGTCTTACTCCAATAACCCACGACTTTTAAAACTCACAGAAGTCTCCCCTTAAGTCGACTCAGCTACCAGTTGCGTTTTTGTTGAATAACTCGGAATTCAAGAAAGATTTGTAGTTTTGTTGATTTCATGATTTCATGAGATTTTACCGATTGCAAGTGATTTCAGTTAAAATCACATGAAATCGATGAAATCCCAGGGTTTCACTGATTTAACTTGATTTCAACTGATTTCGCATTTTAATCCTGAGTGACACACTGATTTCAACAAATGAATGGCCCCTTGCATATTGATTCATGGTCCCGATTGATTAAACATTGATTGAACCTTAATTAAAACCGGACTGAAAACGAATTCGAGTCTTGAGAGGGTCTGAATGTAAAATTATTTGACAGAACGAAATAATACACAAATTTTTTTATGACATTTCAATTGATGATAGTACTACGACATGAAAAAATAGAAGAAGAGAATAGTGAAATAAGAATTTTAAGAAAGAAAACTTATTTGGAAGCAAATCGCTAATTTATTAGCAACAATTACTACACTTATTTATTAAAAAAATGCCATTGTCCGTAATAAGATTTACAATCTTTTTAAAAAAGATTTTACTGTATCTTTATATGTAATTAATAAACTACTTATTAAAAAAATGCCATTGTCCGGTTTGCTTTATTCTTGGCTTCTGTGCGTCGTAGAGTAAGTCAATTATAACTTTTGTTTTTTGGGGATTTCTCAAAAACTAAAGCAGCAGGCATTTTTGAATTGAATAGCATTCCATTACTGCCGGAATTTGTGGTCTTCTCAGCCCCTTAGGTATCTCCAGATATTTTTCAATACTATATGATGAAAAAATATCTATAGGACCACAATTATCATCATACGGCCCTCATGATTTCCATCCTCGAGACCCTTATCAAGCTTCTGACCCTCATTACCGATAAATATATGCGATTCAACGATAAACAAATTCAATCCCCAATAGAATTTGAATGTCTCCCTATATACATAATCTCATTTCCTTTCAATAAATGAAGATTAAATTTCGCTCCCAAAGCTCTAGTATTATATCTTCTCTTCCACTCCCTCCAATTGATTCTTTATACTCTGATCCCAGAAAAGAAGCGGAGCGACGGTACCTCGGAATATTATCGAAATACGACATAGAAGTAGGTGGATTGCATCGAACAATGGAGACTCTCATAGCGGAATCGGATTTGTTGGCAAACAAACTCAAGACTCTCGAGGTACTCCTTGGTGATCTCTCCGATTCGACTCAAAACAATAATATTCTTTTTCGCAACAGGAAACTCTCCGACTTCAGGAGATAGAGTACGTGGAACTGAAGAATGAACGAGAGACAGCACTGCGCAGAGCTTTCATGGAGGGTCTGAACGGTTTTATGAGACATCGTGCAGCAAAGAGGATTCAGAGAACGTGGAGAGCTTATTGGGAGCGTCAGCAATTACGAAAGAAGAAAAAATCGAAGAAGAAGAAACAATAAATTCTCATAAAATTCATCAACACTCTTGACTATAAACCAATTTTTAGTGAATATCTGAGAATCTACGGGAGATAGTGTATCCTCAGTCTAATCAAATATATCGTACTCGGCAGACGTGCCTTACACGTGCAAACTGTCTTCTATATGCTATCCTGTGCTATGGTTCCACTAATCTCAACAGATAGCAAGATCTTTGTTCAGACCTTTTTCGTAGATCGAATTGAGACCTACAAAAAAGTTTTTTTTACAAAAATTTCGATACTTCCCTTGGACTCGAAGATATTCCTCAAAAACTCGACTTAAAACTTCTTAGCGCTTCGCTACGAACTTAATTTTTTATGGAAAAAAATCAAGAAAAAAGTAAAGTGACAAATATTCAAGAACTCTAACATTTTTTTCATTAAAATCCTTCTTTGACCATCAGAACTTTCATTTGAGGACTATTTGAAAATTTTTAAACGTAATTTTTCGTTTTTAATCGTCAGAAAAAAAGTAAGAAATTCGTAAACAAAATGGGATTTTTTTATCTTGAGGAAAATTCTAAAAATAATTAATAAGTTTTCATTATAGAAAATTGAGACTCGTTTTCAAAATTAATTTATGAACAATAAATGCAAAATCCTAGAAATCATTTTTTCGGATTCATAAATAATTCATTAATTTATTCGCATCCAAAATGTTCCATTAGTTAGTTCGCGATAATAGCCAATAATTTTCATTCTTTACTCAGTAGATGAACCCATGACATTAGTGGACGTGACAACGGTCATTGATCGATCCAACAACGTGCAGAGGGCGGATTAATGCACCTACCCCTCAATGTCCACTGTACTGTGATTCTTCCTCCCATCCGTAGAAATCGATCCGAAAATAACAGGATTGTCGCGTGTTTTATTCAGGTCTCGACGAGTGAGCATTCCCATGGATAAAGTGTGAGGTATTTGGTGCTGTTCAGTGACACGAGAAACGCAAACAGACAGATGCAAGGGTCCTACAAATTTTTTATTGAAAACTGTGTTATTGGCAAAACTCAATAATTTCGAAGGGACAATTTAAAAAAAAAGTATTCTTTCCTGGTCAATGTATTCTTTCTATGGTATGAGAGAACCTATGGAGTTCTCTCAGATCAAATGATTGGAGTACAATAGATTATATTTTATCCTGCCAACAGTTCCTGTCAATGAATTCTTCTAGGGATATTTCTGATGATTACGACTAAAGTTTAATTTTTGTGAAAGATATGAAATTTCTTTCTATCAAGTTGCTTAATTTCCCTCAAGTAAATCAGTTCCACACCAGCAAATATTTCCGCGTAAAACATTTAGTTTTCTGGCAGAGCAAATTTTTTCTCCCAGTGTGTTGTTGAAAAATTTTATTTTGAAACCAATATTCAGGTAAAGGTGAAAAATTTTAACGTCGAGGCAATGTTGGCTGCCAACGTTGGGATTGGGTTTAAATTTTTTCTGTTATTTCTTAGATAAACAGTCTATTACTTTTTTCTGTGAAAAATTGTCATTAAACATTTTTATTTTTATTTTGAACATCAAACATTTATATTAAAAAAATCCCGCAGAATAGCTACGGAATTTTTCAATAAAATCGGTAATAAGGGGATAGAAATTTAAAAGAATAAGCGTTGTCGTCCATCTATTATTTTTTGCCATGACGGCCGTAGGCAGAGCCTACGGCCTCCGGACTCCGCCCACGGACTCCGCTCCGCTCCGCGTCCGTGAAGGGCTGCCTCACGGCCGGAATGACAAAAAAAATAGTATATTTCGTCACTAGGCCGAAGGAAACTTTTCTGGCGAATATGAGTTTGCAGCCCGAGCCGAAGGCGAGGGCTGCAATCATATGAGCTAGAAAAGTTTTTTTTGGCCGTATGACGAACAGTATTTTTTGTTATGACGGCCGTAGGCAGAGATTCACGGACGCGGAGCGGAGCGTCCGTGAAGCGCTGCCTCACAAACAAACAAAAACAAACTTTTTGTCATTCCGGCCGTAAGGCAGATATTCACGGACGCGGAGCGAAGCGGAGTCATGACAAAAAATATTGTTCGTCATACGGCCAAAAAAAACTTTTCTGACGAATATGATTGCAGTCCTCGCCGTCGGCTCGTGCTGCAAATCTCATATTGGCCAGAAAAGTTTTTTTCGGCCTAATGACGAAATATATTAATTTCCGACGGCAAACAAGAACAATCGCGCACTTGAGCGCGCGTGTTAAAGACAAATCGTGACACGAAAACCGAAAGCCGACCGAAGTCGAACACGTGCGGGCGAATCCGAATGTTTGACCAATGAAATTCGAGGAAAGAGCTTTACGCTACAGCTTACGGCGTATGTTCTTTTTAGAATAGGAAAAATCCAGTATAACGTTTTTTGAAGCCAATCTATTTGGCGTATTGTGTCATTAGGTTTTTTATCAATGATGATAACATACATTAAAGATATTATGATAATACTATGTTATATTATATTCTATACTATACTATATTATAATATATTAGGCATATATAATGGTATATGTAATATAACACAATATCGTATTCTCAATGTATGTTATTATCGTTATCAGTTTATTATTTAATTTTTTTTACTATCCACATTATATTTTATAATAGATATAGTACTCTATTCTATATTGTATATTACACATAGTTTATATTATATAATATAGTATACAATATAATATAACATAGCGTTGTCGTAATATCTTTAATGTATGCTATCATCATTTATAAAAAATCGAATGACAATACGCCGAATTGATTGGCTTCAAAAAACGTAACACTGGATGTATTAAATATAAAAAAATGCAATATATTCCTGAAACTTTTTCTTCGGAAAACTTGATATTAACATCAGAAATCTAATATATAGCACCATTTACTACAATTGACATACATTGAACCCCATGGAGTAGGACAGACGCGCGCGGACTAATCTAGGGAAGGGTGTGCCTGTACCGCCCACCTAAGGGGAATGCCAGTTTTATATTTTATATTTTAACTTGAGTATAAAAAACGTATTTGTGAGACTTCTTTAACTATTGAACTCGTTATTCTCGAAGTGTAGACGCCTAATTCTCCTTAGAATCCACAAAATTGATTGAAAATAAAAGAGAGAGCCTATTGAGCGGTACTACCCGCCGTCGGGTAATACCGCTCGGCACGATTCCAATGCCGCTCATAGGGTTTTGCGTGTATCGCTCGCGCCGCAACCTAACCTGTACTCGAGTGCTGTCGAGCAACTACGTGGCCGATCCTATGAGCGGTATTACCGGCTCTGCTCGGCGTCAACAAAATTGTTGATAATTATTGACATGAGTGGAGTTTTGAGTTCGAAATGGTCTCAAATTACGCGTGAAAGTACCACGAATCGAATAACCATAGTTTAATATGAGAACTCAGCGTTTGAAACTATCAAAAACCTTAATTACAAGTCCACCAATTTTGCACTGTAAAGACCTCAAAACATCGTTACGTGTTTTTTCATATTTAAAGTGGTAAATAAAGTGGAATTTTTCCGACAATCACATCCTATCATCAAATTCTTCATGATCAGGAACAGAAAGAAATTTTCAAGTTGATGGTTGTGGAGAAAATCGAGTGAGCGTTATTACCCTCTGAGCGGTACAGGCACACCCTCCCCTAGTATTAAAAAAATGGAGAAAGATGAAATTTCAAATTTCACTTTAAATGCAATGAAGTTCCAAGTTTTTGAACAACAGGAAGGTGAAAATTCTTCAGTTCACTTGAATTGTCAATCGAAAAGTGAATATTCACGGCCAAATTACGCTGATTTTTTATTAAAATCAAAATTATATTAACAAACAAGCAGGGGTTCGAGCAGCTGGACCGATCGGGCTGAAACAGCGCGCCAAAGTTGAGCTCAATAACAGCTACAGTGAGCCAAATTTAAGATTTTTATCTACAAATTTCACCGTATTTATGCTAAATTTTCCATAAATTAATCACCAAAAACCCAAATTGTCGCAGACATACACATAAACATGACCTTAAAAACATCATCTCTTTACGTTTTATAATATTCTAGATCATTTGTAATTAAAATTAGAATATCGGAAAATCGCTCAAAAACAAGGCTTCCAAAAAATGAAAAGCTACTGCGAGACATTTGAAAGCTAGGAGGAATATTCGAAATAGAACTGTCGGGAAGCCTCAAATACTGCGCTCTGATTGGTCGAAATCCGATTGGGAAAAATAATCACCAAAAACCAAAATTGTCACATACATACACACAGACATGACCCTAAAAACATCATTTCTTCACGTTTCATAACATTCTAGACCATTTCCAATTAAAATTAGTAAATCTCCAAATCGGTCAAATACGAGGCTTCGATTCGCAAGCAAAAATAGAAATTGAGCTGATTTCATCTACATTCAATAATCCCGGTCAAATCCTCATCCCCAATCAATAGAACAACCCCTCTCTCAGAAAAAATAAACGAACCACTTCGCCTCACCCCGAAAAATTGACTTCCTCAATCCCATAAAAAAAGCCAACTCCTGATGCAGCTGAGCAGCAACAAGCTGTCTGCAGCCTCCCGTACCTATTCCACTCACCATCACGTCTCACTCCCCCCACATGCTCAGCCCCCGCCGAACCAGACAAAAGATCGCAGAAGAATATAAAAAAAATGAAGAAACTGTGAGCGAAAAAAAAATAAAAATAAACTACTCGATTCTTCGACGCATCGGCATCGTGAGTGCGCATGCTCGGTAAATATATCTGCGGGTGAGTGAGAGGGGGGTGAGATATTCAGTCGGGCAATGCCAGGCTCGAGGCGGCCGATCATTACAAGGTATCCGGGTCGCCGGGAGTTTCGCTCCAAACAAAACGAAATTTCGCGATTTTTTGACTGAAAAAAAAAATTATTCGATTTTTGTTTTTAATTGGGAAAGACATTTGCGGGTGGAATTCAGTGGAGAGGTGCGTATTGTTGACTTTTGGAGATCGAGATGTTGTCTTAGGAGTGAGATGAAGTGGGTAATCTTTGTTTGACATGTGAGCCGGTCTGTCAGGTGTTAATACATGTGTTCTATTGCGGCTTTTTTCATTCTAATTCCGTTGTTTCCGACGGGCAAATGAATGTGTGCCACCTGTGGCTGAGTTTCTCGGGCTGTTTCTACTGTTGGCATGAGACCAGATCGGGGGAAGGGAGAGAGGATAATGGTTCAGGAGTGAATTTCGGGAATCGGGATTCGGTGACTTTTGGAAGATAATTGATATATCGTACAGAGTTTAGGAGTCATTTTCGGGAGAGACAGGGGAACAAGTGGACAATTGCATTTTTTTTTATAAATGAGTATACTGTTTGCTAATAAATTAGCAATTTGCTTCGGAATGAGTTGTCTTTTTTTTTCTTATTTCACTATTCTCTTCTTCTATTTTTTCATGTCATAGCACTGACGTCAATTGAAATGTCATCAAAATTTTGCGTATTCGCTGTGTCAAATGATTTTATATTCAGACTCTCTCAAGACTCGAATTCATTTTCAGCCCGGGTTTAATCAAGGTTTAATCAGTGGATAGACGGGATTTAATCAGGGTTTATTCAGGATTTAGCCAGAGTTTAACCCAGACTCTATCAGAAGTTAGTCGGAACCATGAATCAATATGAATATGTATTCAAAATAATAGACTAGTACTTGAGTGTAATAGAGATAGAAATTTTGATGAGAAAAAAGGCCACATACATGCATACATACAGACACCATCTAAACAAGTGGACAATTGCATTTTTTTTATAAATGAGTATACTGTTGCTAATAAATTAACAATTTGCTTCGGAATGGGTTCTCTTTTTTTATTCTTATTTCACTATTCTTTTCTATTTTTTCATGTCATAGTACTGACGTCAATTGAAATGTCATCAAAATTTTGCGTATTATTTCGCTCGGGCAAATGATTCTACGTTCAGACTCTCTCAAGACTCAAATTCATTTTCAGCCCGGGTTTAATCAAGGTTCAATCAGTGGATGGGCGGCATTTAATTAGGGTTTATTCAGGATTTAGCCAGCGTTTAACCCAGACTATATCAGAAGTTAGTCGGAACCATGAATCAATATAAGTATTCAAAATAATAGATCAGTACTTGAGTGTAATAGAGAGAGAGAGAGAGATTTTGATGAGAAAAAAGGCCACATACATGCATACATACAGACACCATCTAAACAAGTGGACAATGGCATTTTTTTATAAATAGTATAAAAAGATAGTATAGTCACTATCGCTAATAAATTAGCAATTTACTTCCCAATGGATTCCCTTTTTTTAATTCATATTTCACTATTCTCTTCTATTTTTTCATGTTATACACGGAGAGAAATTTTTGATAAAAATTATCCTACCGTTCTATAAAAGTGTATCATGAGTCATCGTTTCCTCATTTCTATTCCGAAATTTAGTAAAAATTAATATATGATGTTCAAATTTTATTCCACGTTAGGAAAATTTTATCCTGCTGCATATTAAATTTTACCCTTCCAGTCCAATAATTTTTATGTAGGTAACATACCCGGGATCGGCTTCCTCGCATTTCAAGATATTTCGAAGAAACTAAACTTCAAGTAGAATAGACTCATCTCGTTTTACCACTTCACCATTGCGGTGATTCACTGCGTTTTACCACTTCACTGCTGAATTCTATTTGTTGGTGACCAATAACGCATGGTTTAGTGCTCTCGTAATGGTTCTCTGGATCGTCGCTCATTCCTTCTGTTCACAAAGAAATGAAAAATTTGTGAATAAAACACAAAAAACAAGAAATTTACACATTAAACAAGAAGGAAATTGCCCTTGTATTGTATATAGTATATTTTGTTTTGCTAATAAATTAGCAATATGCTTCCGAATGGTTATTTTGCACATCATTTCCTCCTATCATCTATAATTCGTTGTTTATTTCATTTTATTTAATTGAATAACATTTCCTTTTACCTAAATTGGTCAGATTTTCAACTCAGTTGAATGTTATCAGCATCATTATTCTTATTATCCCGTTTCGTCTATACAACCGATGGTCTTTTTTACAGTATCTCTCCCCTTAGCCCTTTGATAAAATGTTAATAAAAAAATTTTATTTACACATACTTGAATGAATTTGAAACATCATATTTGAAGAAACCATCAGGAAACTCATTTTCAGGGAAATTCATTAAAAATTCAAACTTTTCAACAATCATTATAAAAATTAAATCAACCAATATATTATAGCTATCGTAATCATCTTTTAACTTCGACTTAATGGCACTAAGACAAACATTTTAAGGTAGGGGAGGATGGGGCAAAACGGTCCCCTTTCAATCGTCAATATTTTCCGATTCAATAATCCGATTGGGATGAGTTAGAGCTCGTTTTGAAGAATGAAAAATTATCTTCAAAATGAAGTTGAAACTGGGAATTTTCACAATGTCATTCACAAGTTATTGACAATTGAAGGGGGGCCGTTTTGCCCCACCCTCCCCTATTATTGAATCTATTTGAAGCATAATATTCAAAGGTATCCCTGCAATTCTGATTTTCAGAAAATACAAAATTTTTGAAAGTTTGAAATAAATTAAACTAACGATTAGGCGATTGCTATCGCCTTCATCTTCGAACTTGGTCAAAGGGACGTCTGAACACATTTTTCAAGCCATCATTCAATCAATTCAGAAAATTTTTTTTCGTTATCGTTGGCCCACTGTTTTTCTAAAAAATTCAAAAATTGAAAAAACTATTCGATAAATTAAATTTTAATTAATGGAGATCGGTAGGGCTCAACAATACCTACATTTGGAGGAAAAAAAATTCAATTCCATCCATTGCATTTTCGAACTTTTTGGATCATAATGGCTCGATGATAACACAAAAAATCCTAAACTTAAATTTGAACGATTGTAATACTTCCATTAAGAAGCAATAGGAAATTTACAAATAAAAAAATCGAAAACTATAATAATATTAAATAATCTTCTATTCCCAAAGAAATGAAAAATTTTCCAATAAAACACAACAAAAGGAAATTTTCAAATTAAAAAATTAATCACTTGAAACAATTATTCAACTACTGGTGGAAAAACTTTTTCTGTGATAAATTGTTGATGAAGCTATTTTTTTCATGAATTAGTGCGAATGAAGAATCAAAAAAGGCGAAAATTTTGCAGGAAATATTTTCTCATCCAATATTTCAGGAATGAAAGATCATTAGATTTCTTTTTTTGCTTCGCAAGAATAGAAACAACAATTTATTCCACTGCTTAATTCACTGATAAAGTGGTAAAGCGAAGTAAGCCTAAAACTCACATGAATATCATTTTGCAAATATCTCCGGAGTTGAGGTCTCCGAGACGATTCCTCTAGAGACCATTTTTATCGCGAATTTCAAGGCCCACGAATAAAAGTATCTAGGGAAATTCTCGCAGGCCTGTTCATGCTCAAGATAATCACAGAATAGTACGCGCATGAATTTTCCTCCCCAAGCAAGACAGAAAATCAAATGCTCCAATTTTTATTGTTTGAAAATTTGGCTACCCCGGAGAATGTGACGATTGTCATGAGAAAAAGGTCGAAATTTATTCTCAAACAAAATTAAAGATATGTTTTTCTTTTACCTGGGAGTTTTATTCGTATCAACTTCCATTTGAAATTTATTTAAAATTTTCATCCTTAACGTTTACCGTATCCCGCACTCACAAAAACAAAGTTTTTTGAGAAGTAAGTCTTTACTTATATCAAGAAACTCGTGGCTTGAACATTTTCAAGAGCAAAATATCTTGCACTAAGAGAAAAAGACTTTCGCCAAGAAATTTTGTACTTGTCCCAACGACGAGGACAATTTCTTGACGACAAGAAAGCGATTTCTCTTGTCAAAGACAATTGAATTAATTCATTTAATAGTTTTTTAGTGCCAACTCGCGTGTAGTTGGCGTCCGAGCCGAAGGCGAGGACTGGCCAACCACGCGAGTAAAAAACCCCATGGCACTAGCCGTGAACGATATTTTTCTGTAGTGATTTTCACTTTTACGGGTTTGGGGAAGGGCCAATACCAATCCCCGGACGAGGAAAAGTGAAGATTAGTACGGAAAAAATATTTTAATGTAAAAACTACTTGAATTGATTTGAGAACTCGTTTTCTTCGTATGAACCAATTGCCCTCATCCTTCGGACAAATCTAAAAATTTTTGGTGTAAGATTTTTTTTTTCTTAGTGTCAGATATTCTGCGCTTAGTAATCTTCGAGCTATGAATTTCTTGGCACAAGTAAAGTCGTAATTCTCAAAAAACTTTTATCTTCTCACTGCGCGGTCTACCAGATCGCTACTGCGTCTGAATCGCATTTCCCGTTTGTTTGAGTGAATGAATCAATATTTTTTTTCAACTGAAGGTTCAAATGAGGGGTAAAACGGGGAAAGTTGAAACAAGGAAAGGTTAAACGAGGGAAGGGTCCAACGGGGATGCGTTGAACAGACGAGGCAAAACGTATGTTTATATTTAATTTTTTTTTTCTTCGCACATAAATATTTGTTATGAACATTTTTTCATATCAATGTCACCTGTTACACTGAGAGAAAAATTTTCTGGTATGTAGACCATATTTACTTGAGAGAAGTAAATTATTTTCAATGGTTTAAATCTCAGAATGCTTGCGGTTCACGGAACTCGAATGAATTTATCACTATCATTGCGCATTATATCATGAATGTATTACATATCGAAATATTGCAACTGCAAAACAAAAAAATTATGAAAACAATAAATACTTGAAAATTGACTGTTCTTATACACGATTTGAGTGAGTTCATTTACAACAAAATCATACTTGAGCACAATAAGAATATGTTAAAGTATGAGACCATCCTCGGGCCACGTGAGTTGAGATGCCTGGGAGAATTAAACAGTTGAAGAAAAATTACTTGTCTCAAGAAAATATGTTTCAGATATTAGAATTTTTTTTTCAGTGTAATCCTCGATTATCCAACTAGCAAAGATATGCCAGTCAGTATGAATAATTGTGCTAATTATAACTTTTTATTAATTCCCTCAGGGAATAAATTAGGGGAAACATTGGTGATTTCATGGATTTATCGGGCTGAAAAAAATTAAAAGCGTTTTCTATCGATTGAAACCGATGAAATGGGAAGCTACTGGAAGTTTGAAATTTTTTTCTTGCATTTATAAATAGTTATACACAGAAAGAAAAAGTGGATTAACTTTAGAAAAGTTTCTGAATTTTAGAAACCGTGGTTTCTAATCTTCAGATTTTTAAAATCTAGAAACTGTTTTCTAAATTTTAGAAAAAAATCGACTTAAATATACTTAATTTCAGAAAAAATATTTTCCAAAATCTAGAAAATTTTTCTAATTTTTGAGGGGGAATTTTGCAAAGTGGGGAAGGGACGGGAGAGAATTCACAACCAAAAGAATTGAGTTGGTGAGTTTTTCAAAAATATTTCCGAGACTAAGGGAGATAGCGAATTTTTACGAAAATTGGGGGGGGGGGGTTGTTTTGATAGCGGCCCCACAGGCCGGGAGTTCGGTGCAAAGGGTAAAAATCAAGGTGTGTTCATTCTACTTCAAACATTATGAAGTAAGAATGAGCGAATATTTCCAATTGAACTAACTGATCCCGACTTCTAAATAAATATCCATGTGAATTCCCATTCTGTCGATTCCAATCTACGCAATAACTCCAACTTCGGCATCCCTCAATTTCCATTTAATTTACTCTCCCACACATTTCCAATCTAATGAATTATTAATCACTCATGTATACATCTAGTCACTCCAAACTATTTCGATGGATAATTCCATTCCAGGTTTTTACTAGAATAAACATTGTAAAACTGAAAGATGGAAAGCTAAGGATTTGAAAGCCCCCGTATCGAGAAGACGGCAGAGATGAGCAGAAAAATGACACTGTCATTTCATTCACCGGTGATGGAGGAGCACGAAAGTAAACTGATGACCGGCAATCTCGAGGAGAGGAAGCTGGCTTTTAAGAGTGATGAAGAACTCATGAGAGAAACGACAAAGTTTGTTACAGAAGTGATAGAGACGGCAGCAGTTGAAGCGAATAGGAGAAAACTTCAGGGCCAGGTTTGTTTGCCAAACATAGCTTTTTTCAATTTAACGTCTGTTATAAAATAAGAAGATTCATAACGTTTTCCTCCTCTCCCGTGAAGACGAAAAAACGTTGGATATTTTTTCTAGCGGCCGCTAGATGCATAAAAAAAATTATTCTGACGCCGGGACTAACATGTGTCCTGCGTCGGATTGACTACTCATATTTAGAAATAATATGAAATAGTATGAAGTGGCCCCGCTAGACTAGTTAGATAGCGCTAGACTCAATCTAGCGGAATAGTGATAATAATGATTATGGTCGTGAATTTGTAATCCGACGTAAGTAAATTAGAAATCTAAGATGGGAGTATGAATTTGTTCCATTAGGATAGTTGAATAGCGGTAGGATTAATCTAGCGGAATCTAGCGAAATACTGATAATAATAGTATCATGTGTCTCTTTACGCGTTTGAAATGTGGCGCGGTTGAATAGGCAGTCTATTATATGAGTATGAACTCATTTCGCTAGATAGACGGATAGCTCTAGATTCAATCTAGCAGAATTTTGATTGAGAAAAAAGCAGTTTTTCCATAATCTTCTGTTGAAAAATTAGAAAGTTGGATGATGTTATCTGGATGTGCGCTAGATTCGGTTTAGCGCATCCAATTTAGAATTTCCACTAAACTTTGTTGTGTTTTCCTCTCATCCTCCAGTTGAAAATCAAATGAGTTGTTTTGTTATGCTAGATGAGAATTATGTTTAATCTAGCGCAACCTAGCGGAGCCTAATGAAATTTTTATTCAAATTTGTATATTTCTTTATAATCTTTCCGTAAAAAGATCGAATAATTTGGTGATTTATTTTTTTTGAATGAGCGCTGGATTTTATTTAGCGGAATCTGGAGAACCCTAGCGTCATCTAGCGCAATCCAGCGGGATTTTGCAGGATTTGAGCTGAACTTTTTAGTAGTTTTCTCTCATCCTCCACGTGAAAATCAAAGGATAGAGTTTGATTTTGTCATGCTAGAGGAGAGATAGGTTTAATCTAGCGGATCCTAGCGGAGTCTAATGAAATTTGTATTTAAATTTAGATATTTTTTTTAACTTGCCGTAACAAGATCGAATAATTGGGTGATTTAGTTTTGTTGGGTGAGCGCTGGATTTTATCTAGCGGAATCTAGCGAACCCTAGAGTAATCTTGCGCAATAGTTCTTAAAACTCCAAAAAAAATTTGTATTTGTACCATAAAGAGATGAAAAATTTGGGTGATTACATTTGGCTGAATATCTACTAGGTTGATTCTAGCGAAATCTAGCGCATTTTCCCCCATAATTTCATCTAAAGTGTATTCCTTCAATATTGAGATAACTAATTAAGATAAATTAGCCGTCCGACATCTCCCGGAAACAGGAATTTCCCCGGCTGTCGAATGGGAGCATTTTCAATACCCCCACCCTTCCCCCTCCGCCCTTCCCTCGACGAATCTTCTTATTTTATGAACCTCCAGACGTAGAAATTTATAAAAAAAAATCAGCGAGCATTGATGAGTGAAAAAGTAATGAGAAATTTTTTTAAGACTATATCGTCGACATCTTTTTTTATAATATTGTGTGTTTGCTTCGTATCAGGAACACCTCCAGTAATTCAGCCCACGTTAATGATCACTCGTTGATGCTCACTGATTCGACCCATTAGTGCCATCAGAATGACTCAATGTTTTTACCCTAGTTTGAAAAAAAATCCACGCTTCATTGATCGCTTTGTTCAGGCACTAATGAGTCATCCCTGTGAATCGCTGCTGTAGGATTTATTATTCCCAACGCTTGGCCCTACTAGGCTCATCCCCGTAACAATTTTCCTATTCCTATGTGTTTCAGGATGGCGCTAATAGTGAAGGTAATTTAGAGCAGCTTCGTATAGGTAGGCTGTACGGATTCTGTTGTCTTCGAGTTTTTCTTTTTCAATGTTTTATCCTGTTGCTTAATGAGTAGATCAATTTGTAGATTTTCAACGGCGGGCAGGTTTCTATTCATGAAAAATTATTCTTGAGGAGTTTTTTTGCATTTATGCCATTTTTTATTTGTAATTTTTTTTCACTTTCGTTTTTCATTCTTTCTGTTTAAATCGAATTGTTATTCGTTTTTCGTTTCAGTTTTTTTGCGTGCAGAATTAGACCCAAAAAATCATCCTGAATCAAACCGAAAAATCAGTTTGAATCAAGTCGGACTGAATTATGTGGGAAATCGATTTATTTCATGTCGGATCGTCGGCATGAATCAAGTCTGACTTGGAGAGAATGCAAACCAATACATTGGCCTCACTCAAGTTGATTTTTCGACTTGAATCCGCTCGACTTGGGTTTGATTCAAGTTGATTTTTCGATTTAATTCAAGTCGATTTTTCGGTTTAACTCAAGCCGATTTTTCAATTTGATTCAAGTAGATTTTTCAATTTGATTCAAGTCGACTTTCGACTTGAATCAAGTAGACTGTTCGGTTTAATTCAAGCCGATTTTTCGGTTTGATTCAAGTACATTCTTCAATTTGATTTAAGTCGATTTTTCGGCTTGATTCAAGTCGACTTTTCGGTTTGATTCAAGTCGATTTTTTGGTTTAATTCAAGTCGATTTTTCGATTTGATTCAAGTCGATTTTAGCTTGACACGTTTCTTCTTGAAATAATCTACTTTTCTGCTTGTATCAGGACCGAAATTCGGATTGGTGGCGTCCGAGTCACTCGACTTGAATCAAGCTGAAAATCGACTAGATTCAAGCCGACGTCGACTTGAATCAATGTTTTTCTGGGTGTATATCAAAAAATTGTAGGAGAATTCTTGAACTTTTTGTGCAAAATTTGAAAATTAACAATTCGCATTTTTTTAAACAGTAAAATTTAAATTTTGCATTCTTGAAAACATAGTAATTGTTATGACATTCAATTGTTGCAGTTTTACATGCATATTTTCTACATAACAAAAAGTAGAGTTCAATTTTCTCACGTTCTTTGGGCACAAAAAATGACGATTTTTGTGAGAAAAAATGGAAAATTTACCATTTTTATTTTTTATAAAAATAAAAGTGAAATTTTGCAATAAAAAAATTAAATTTCACATAAAAAATAGATCTCTATATTTGCATTATTTATGAAAAATAATCTAAATAACAATGACATTATAATTTTGATCATCAAATGACAACAAAAAATTTCTAATTAAATCGTGGAGTTATTGTAGTCAAGGTAATGTACGCCCGTAAATTAACAAAATGCGAATGCATGTTACTGCAGGCAGTAGATTGAAAGGTGGAGATATCATCACTGGCTGGAACAACCGTGCCCGTGGCTTCTGCAACCGGATACTGAACGCTCTCTGTCCGTGCTTCACCAATACTGGTAAATCGTAGAGACTGATTGTGAGAATTTTCACCCTTGGTTTTGCTACACTGTTTTATTATTATTTAACATTTTATTTGATACTGATGTTGATCGTTATGACAGTTAGCGTTCGAATAGTTGACGCGCAAACTAGTGTATAATGCTACTGCCAAAACGAGACTGCTGGCCGTCTCGCAATCCGCCCGTAGTCTTTCATTATCCAACCATCATCATCATCATCATCTTCGGCATTCCATCATCGTCACATATCACTCCCCGTCACGTTGAGGAGATTATTATCACATTTTAATCAGGGATAACCATATCCATAAAATACAATTACCGTTAAATTATTATGTAGTCCATTAGTTAATATCACTTAAAATTAAAATTTTAATGATTCAAGTGAATATCAATTTAAATAGTAAAATTTCTAATTATATATTAATCAGTAATTGAGTTAGGAAGATTGACGATTATTTGGATAGTCGGAAATTGGTTATAAAAAATTTAGTATTATCTACCTGATAGAAAATTTATAGTTCCATATTTTTAATTGAAAATTCAGACTATCCATTATTTTAATATTTTGAAATTTCGATTGGTATATTTAAACCTTGATCAATGTAAGTCGGAAATTCTTTTAATATTGAAGAGTCGGAAGATTGATGGCCATCCCTGATTTTAGTTCTTATTCAAACACTCAATTTGGGCACTTATTCTCACGTTGTATATTTTTTAGAGGTAATATTCATGGATTTTTGTAAAGAGAGAAGATTCAGTCGTGGGGAATAAATCTGTCTGATATAAATTGTTTAGTTTTTTAAATAGTTTAGGTTTTATAATTGGATGTGAGGAAACATTCCGTGCAGAGAATGCGATTCTGTATAAAAAAGTCCTCGAAAAATGTTGATAAATTACAAATAATTCGAATTTTATTTCGAAGGGTAATGAAATTTCAAAGCATCGATAAATGTCAAAGCATCTTTCTTTACAGAGAATTAAATTCTCTGCAAAAAAGGTTTTTGATGAATTTCGCAGGAAATTTGCAAAAAAACTAAATACCAAATAAAATAAAACTAAGTAATTTTAAATAAGTAAAACTAAATAATTTTTAAAAAATACAGTTGTTGGATAATTTTGTAAAGATTTTCCGGAAATGTTTCCTATACTAATCGATTTAGAAGAAAACTTCAAGTCACATTTTTTGTGGAGAATTTAATTCTCTAGACGAAGATTTTTTGGATAAATTGAGCTAGATGACTTTATTAAGGAGATTTGCAAAATACTTCAATATCGTGAATTGGTAAATCAGGAGAAGTGAACTCCAAGATCAGTTTTGGAAATAATTCTGTATTTAAAGAGGATGAAGTTCGTCCGAACGTTAAAAAAATCCTGATTAAAATTTTGCTATCACTCTTGGATATTTTTCGATTTATTTTGCTTATTTTTCGAAAACTCATACGAAGTGGAATTAAGGTATATCCCTAGAAAGCAAGTTTTTGTAACAATAATAGTTTTCATAGATAATGTTTATAATATTCTTCAGCTGTTGAAAAAAATCTAACTAGCTGTACTAGACAGTTGAGCTGATAATAAATAATGGAATGCGGGCTTCTAGCACGCGAGACATGGGCCTAACGGGGGTTATGGATCCCCCCGAACTCGATTTTTTCATCTTATGAGAAAATGATTCTTACGATGTTCTTAAAAATGAATCCGTGGTAGATTGATAAATTCCGAATGCGGCGAATTTTGTGTCAAATTTTCTAGCACATAGTAAATACTAACAGTTTGTAATCGTCCATATTTTTTTGTTATGAAAGTCCAATTAGGTGTGATTACAACGTGAAATACCAAAAAATAACGATTTTTATGATTTGCTAAGAAGAGAAAAAAAAATCAACAACTCAGAAAATCATTTTCTCATGATCTAATACATGTAAAGTAAAACGGATACTTGGATTTGTTCGTTGGAGTATAACAAACATTTTTTTAAAGTTGTAATCGGATGAAAACTGTGATGCAAGGACCATTTTTAAGCTAAAAACGCGAAAAATAACGTTTTTGGTGGATGTACGGGGCAAAACGTGTCGGGTCCAAAATTTTTCTTACTTTTTAATGTATCCCTTTATTTACCAAAAGTCGTCTAATGGCTCTTAAAGTAGTTCTACCCTTCGGCCGGGCTACGCTGTACTTTTCGATATTTTCAGTTTTTTAATTTTTCATCTAAATTGCATGGAAAAAATGTGAAAAAATTCATACCCAGTCAGTATTATCTAAATTAAATTTCGCAAAATATTGATATTTTTTCAAACATTTCCCTCCTATAAATAAATAATAAAACTTGTTTGCAAAACGGTGGATCATTTTTTATGAGGTGTCAAAATAATTCTTGATTTTTTCATACCCAATGGAAAAAAAATTCAGATTTTAATCTTTGATTACAATGGAAATGTTGATTTTCATGTAAGACACTGGGTTAAATCCTGATTTTTAAACATTTCTTCCTTGAAAAACCGAAACGATAATTAAATTGAGGAAAAAATTAGAATTCCGAATCTAATCAAGTTTTCTACAATTTTTTTGCAGTTTTCAATAATCTTTGAATTTACCGTACGGATAGAGCGATTTTAAGGCCGAGCGAAGACTTAAATTTCACCGCGGGGTTTCCTTAAGGGGAAACGGAACACCTGTGTCTCTTCTAGAACTTCTAGAATAGTGTTCTCCTGCAATTATTATTTTTTATTTATGAAACTACTTCATTGACTCAATAATACAACGATAATAATATTAATTAATAATTGTAGGAGAAATCACAATTCTACAAGTTCATACAGACACATGAGTTCCGTTTCCCCTTAAATAATATTTTGCATGTTTTCTAGAATCCATAGGGACTAACTTTTGGGCCGCATTGTCTTGGGATATACCTTATAACTATTACCGCGATCTATGGTAATTCTTGACCATCAACAATACCGTTAGAATATGAAATTGATACGTCGATAATGGCATTTTATTTTCACGTAACACTATGAACCCGTTGATTTATTAAATGTCCAGACGTATCAGTATCACAATTCCTGTATTCACCACATCATGTAACAGAGGTCACGTACATAGAAAATACGACTATTGTCAACTTTCACATCCTCTGTCTAGTATTCCGCGGCATGATCCACTATTATACAACAGTAAAACTGGATTATGCAACGACAACACAATTTTACGGGGCATAACTTTTTGATGTATAGTTGAAAAGAAAGAATGGAAAAATGTTGAGGGAAAATCGTCATTTTGCATGTTTCCATTCGTACGAATGATTCTATTGGATCACGTGGAAAATATTGTATTTATTCGGAGCAGCTGTTCCAGGGATTGATCATCTACCCGCGGATGACCATTCGCAATACAAAATTGAATTTTCGATTTAATTTATTTTTTTCAATTTGAAAGAAAGTAAATTTTTAGTTTTGACGTTCCAAATTCTAATAAAATTCCGTTGAAAATCAGATCGTTCCTTAAATTTTGTATTCATCTTGGAATTTCAACGAAATGCAGTGAGAGAAAAAATTGGCTCTGCCGAAAAACTATATGTTCCGCGTGAGAATATTTGGTGGACTGAAACAGATTTACTTGAGGGAAATTAACGAAGTTGATGGAAGGAAAATAAATATCTTCCACAAAAATTAAATTTTTGTTGTGATCATCAGAAATATCCCTACGCTGTTAGAAAAAACATGAAATTTCATGGACAGTTGACTAGTAGTTTTCAGGATAGTGACATTAAGGGCGATTTAGGGGGAAAAAAAAATTCAGGTTTCACTGAAAATGCAGTAAAATTTTGGAATTTTGAACAGCATAAAAACAAGAATTTCTTAATTTATTTGAATTTCCAATCTAATATGAATATTCAGTACCAAATTACATTGAATTTTCAGTAAACTCTGATATTTCATGATTTTTCCCCCTAAATCGCATTCAGTGTGACTATCCTGAAAATTCAAGAATATATTTATCGGAATTTTCTGGGTTTCTATTCAATTTCCGCGAAAAATGGAACTGAAATTTAAAAATCCTATTTAACGTCACTCTGCTGGAAACGACTAATCAACTGTACTCAGAATTTCTTAATTTATTTGAATTTCCAATCTAATATGAATATTCAGTGCCAGGTTATTCAGAATTTCATTTTTTCCACACTGTTAAAAAAATAATAAAATTTCACCGACAATTGATTACTAATTTGCAGGACATTGACACTGAATGCGATTTAGGGAAAAAAATAAAATTTCAGGTTTCACTGAAAATTCACTGAAATTCCGGAAGTTTAAGCAGCATAAAGACGAGAATTTATTAACTTATTTGAATTTCCAATCTAATATGAATATTCAGTGAAATCTGAAATTTCATTCTTTTTCCCCCTAAATGGCATTCAGTGTCACTGTTCTGAAAATTCAAGAATATATTTACCGGAATTTTCTGGTTTTCTATTTATTTTCAGAGAAAAATGGAACTGAAATTCACAGTTCTCTTTGATTTTTCCACGAAATTCGAAATTTTTGATGACGAAATTCCTTGAAATTTCATTGGTAATTAAATTCGATAAGAATTTCCAAACAGTTTACTGGAAATTTCAGACAAAAATTTTTAACGGTGAACTGAATAACATTCACTTGATAAAACCGGAGCCTAATATAATTCTCTGTAGAACGAGTGTATTTACCCATCTCTCACAAGAACAATTACTACTACGAAAATTATCATGTTTTGGTGGAAACTTTCTTTCTTGCCCACAAGTAAATTGATTCAAGACGACAAAATATATCTTCAGGGGAACATATTTTATAACAGTGTAGAGGAAATGTTTTTCTGCAGAAATCAATTTTTCCTGCAGAATCAATTTTTTCTCTCAGTGTTGATCTTCATATTGAACGCTCATTGATTTATAAATGACAGCTTGAATTCTTGAATTCATTGGGAAGGTAAAACTTCACATTCAATTGAGATTTCACTCATTTTCATTGTCATGTGGGCCTGAAATTGCAATTTCATTGAATATTCCATGAATATACCAATAGTACATGTGGGAATTTCACTCAAATTACTTAGCCCGGTGGCTTGGCGCAGTGGATAAGTTCGCCTCACATGCGAAAGGTTCTGAGTTCAAATCCCGGCCGGGTAGAATGGTGCGATCTAACCATTTAAAGTCTTGATCATCATCGCAGTATACCCTAACCGGGTCGAAGCGATGTAAAATAACGATAAAAAAAAATACAAATTACTTGTTCCTAAAAAAGATTCTTCAGTTAACATTTCAGAGGTATTCGTTTCGAGATATATATGGAGTAAAAACCAAAGTCTGAAATTGTAAAATCGACTCATCTAGTCCACCATTTCACTCCATACTCAATTGTCACTCCCAATACCGTCGTCCACTGGTGCAAGCAGACACCCCATGATACATATACCCATTAACCCTAGATTAGTCACCGTGCGAGGGAATTGCCGCAACGTGTCATTTTTTTCGTCTTGTCACCGGCTGGTAGACCGGGAAAATCCGAAAAAATTTGAATTCGTCAATTAAAGTATCTGGAAAATTTTAGTATTGTTTTTTTAATATCCCAAATTCTGGAAGAAAAAGAATCATTTCCAACAGTTGAACCATTTTTTCCCATGTTAAATGAAATTGCCCGTTGCGCGAGGTTGCTGGAAACTCGTTAAACGCGCCCGGGCAGTGTAGAGTGAATTCGGCAACGCTGGAGCCTAAATAACAAGGCGGCAAATCCCCGCGGAGGTGACCAGAGTCGCAAGTTCCCGTCAGGTGACCAAACTAGGGTTAAAAAATGGTGAATCATATTGATGTGTAATAGTATATTATGTCATCAGGCGATAAAAGTATTATCTGGCCAATGTGGCTTTATAATCCGAGCCGTAGGCGAGGATTATAATCACATTCGCCAGATAATACTTTTATGTCATTAGTCTTTATGTCATTATGTCTTTTATGCGATTCTAGATCGCGGTTTTCGGGCCCAACGACATAAAATATCGCCTTATGACATAAGATACTATTATCGCCGTGTGACATACGATATTTTATGTCATTGGGCCCGGAAACCGCGATCTAACCGAGCGAAGCGAGGTTAGAATCACGATTTATCAGGCCTCATGACATAAACATCTTGGCTCTCGTTATCAAAATTTTGTGGTAAAGTAATCCCTGAAAAATCTCATGTCACAAAAAACCCAACGGAAGTTGCGCAGTCGACCACTGCGCTTGAAGGGAATACGATGTCCACAGTCGTGTGTACATGTACAGTCGGGTACTAAAGTTCATGAACAAAACACATAGGATGCAAGTGCAGGCTGTTCACGAACTTAAGTCCGCGACTGTACTACGGATATACTCTCGAGTAAAGGTGCTCTCGCTGTCGCTACAATGCCCCACTGTCGATTTAAATACCTCGAAAACCATTGAGAAGTTATCGACACATCCAGTGTGACGAATGTAGGAAATTTCATAACAAATAAAATGGTTTTTAACTCACATCTCTGCGAATCGTGGCTATCAGGATGTGGATGTTTGTAGACAGGAGTACCCCACGGTGCACGCGCTCTCTCAGAAACTAAAGCTCTTGAGTTACTCAATTAAACAAATGATAACAGCTCGAGAATTGAGTCGTAGAGTCATGAGTAAAACCCCATTTTATTCCTCATAAAAATCCATCAAATCTTCACCCAACACGTCTCAATGACTTCCCAACGGTCATCGAGATATTTCAAGGGAGAGAGGCGCACTTCGTTGGACATAAAATACACGATTGGACTAGTATGGATCATTTTTTCGAATGCAAGTCACTGCAAAAGACGATGAAACAGTCGAAAAAAATTGTAGTAAAAACAGAATTGCAGCAGCTTCACTTCGCTTCTCCTCAATATTATTTGGCGACAGCTTACAGTATAGATTACACCCTAGGATCATCCGTCTGCCAACACAAATTTCCGAAACAAAAAAAATTGCGTGGCTTCCAACAGATTACTCTAGAAAGTTTTTGCATGTAGATTAGTCACCAGTAGTGTTTGGATTGAATCGATGAAATTCGGTTGGTAGTTACAACCGTTTATGTATTTATTTCCATAGAGTTATTCGCCTGGACGCCGTACCGGTATCGCTTCACGAGACCTTAGCCCGATGAGTAGTCGTCGCGATAACTTGTAAAAAAAAATCTGCGATGCGCATAACATCAAACACAATAAAATATTGAGATTAAAATTATCCATCTTTCATACAAAAAATTAAATGGAATAACAATAAGAGGCTTCCTTCGTGTGGCAAATACGCAGAGGATAAATCATACCAACGAGTCATAAGAAATCCAATTAGTAACTTGAATTGCGTAAGAAGAAACAGAAGTTCGTTGTACGAATGAAAAAGAAACTCAACAATCTTAACAAATACTTAATAAATATTTCCATTTTTTGTTACTATTTTTTGTTATGAATAGTTCTAAAAATCAAGAGAATATCTAAAATAATATATTAAATGAGTAATGAATGTCACTCCAAAGTAATTGTTAGGAGAGTGAATGTAGTTTGGTGGTTGTTACTGATTCATTAGTGAAGTGGTAAAATGCAACGGAATACGGAGAGAAATATTCAGTAAAAATTACGGAACAATTCACGTAATCCACAATGGGGAATCGTTTTCCGGAAATTTTTATAGGAATGGAAGAGAAGAAATCTGAAATGTTCAGTGAATTTTCAGGTTCATCACCGAACAAAGTACGAAATTGTCCCGTAATTTTCCCCGAAGAAGTAAAATCTTACAGAAATTTCCCGACTCGTTATGCCTCCAAAATAAAAAATTCTTGAACGTTCAACAATTTTTATGAAGCTGGTGAGTTATTTCTACGTTTCGTTCCGTAAAATTTCTCAATCGTTGGGGAAAAATTACGGAACGACTTGTCCCCACAGCGGTAAGTCGTTAGACGGGTGGTTAATTTTTATGGAACAAATCATAGAATTTACGTGGCGATTCGTACAATTTCAGTTTTGACTCACACTTTTTATTGTATTTTCTTTCGCTCACAGATTACGTTTCGAAACGTAATTTTTACGTTTTTTTCTGGTAATTTTTATTGAATTTTTCTCTCCGTGAACCCAAATAAATAGATCAATGACTAGTTCATTCAAGGGGCAATGTCGAAGACTTGGAAACTCTCTCAGCTTTAAATAAAGATTGTGTGAGTGTCCCTGTTGGACCTGGTCATTCCCTCAATAAATGGACATTTGAAGTAGCTCTACCCCTACGGCTCCAGTCATTGCGTGTTATCACAAGAAAAAAATTCCAAAAATTATTGTCTTCATTAACCTCTAATCCACGTTTCATTCGAAAAACATTTCCTCTACATTGTTAGAAATTTCTTGAAATTTCAGTCACAATTTCATCTGAATTTTCAATGTTGTGAGTTTGAATTCAATTTCAAATGAAATCGTTCACTATAAATTTCTCGTTCATCTTGAAAATTCAAGAAAATTGAGTTTTTCGTGTTAAAGAATTATTGATTTTTCAATGAAAGCTTGAATTTCCAAACTCATCGTGAAAATTGAACATCATAGACAATTCAATTTTCAATAGACTGAAAATTTAGAGAAGTTATTGCTTGAATTTTCAAGATTTTTTAGTGCCGTATGGACCTGAAAATCGAGAATTACGTGAGAAATTAACTGATTCGTCAATGAAGAATTCTATAGAAATTTCATGTATCTTTGTCGTTTTTAAAAATTTTAAGCTTTTTCGTTTGAAATTTCAAGAGTAATTTTCTAACAGTGTACCCTAATCACCAAAATTCCAAAATTTTCAAATTCACTCCTTACCGTTGTACCACTTCGCGACTGGATCAACCCTAGATTGGTCACCATATGAGGGACACGCCGCAGCACGTCGTTTCCGTTAATTACCATCGACTGGATAGCCGGAAAAATTCCACAAAATTTGCCTTTCTCAATTGAATTGTATAACACATTGTAGCGATTTTAGAACAACATAATTCTCAAAATTGCAAAAGAAAATGAATTATTTTCGACAGAAGGATTTTCATTTCCCATGTTAAGGGTAGATTACTATGAATTTTAAAAGTCGCGGGAGTGAGACTTCATATTTTGAAGATCGATTGTGTATGTATAAAAACGAACAATTAGTGCAAAAAAATTAATATTTAAAATGTTAAAAATAGTCTAGGGCCTTTAATTTTTTAGATGCAGAGGTTTTTTTTAGTTTTTTGAAATTAGACTCCTACACAGCTAATTTAGTTTTTTTAATATGAAAAATTGTACCATTCATGCAAAATCGCTAGACAAATGTTTCTGAAATGAACGAGAATATACTTTAAATTTTTTGAGGATCATTTTTTTGGCGATTTTACATGAATGGTGTAATTATTTTTATTTAAAAAAACAAAATTGGCTGTATAGAAGTCGAATTTCAAAAATATAACTCGTAATTGCTATTGTACACTTTTTTCAAAAATTTTGAAAAAAAAACCTTTGTGCCTCAAAAATTGGAGACTGCGGGGCAAACGAACAATAAACAATCAATTTTGTTGCAGTAATTATTCGTTGCATGATAAATCTCACTCCAATAGCTCGGGAATATTAAAATTCATAGTAGTTTCTCTTAGTGCATCTGTAAGGATATCCAAGTTCTTTGGCTACTTTTTCTCCAGTGAAATGTTTTTCTACTTTTGTAATCGAACATCAGAGCTTTCATTTGAGCCCCATTTGACCCTAAGTTTCCGGACATTTCACAATGATTTTATTATTTAAACTTGGCAGATCTGAATCTGAATCTCGATATTGAACCGTTAGAAACCATTTTAAAAATTTGAAAAAAAAATTGGAAACTTCAATTTAGAAGAAACATTGATGAAATAATTTAAAAAATACAATTTTTAAAAATTACGAGCATTTTCTGGAAATAATTGATAAATAATCAATTTTCCACCATAAAAATCATTAGCTCTTAATCGTAACAAATTTATTCAAATTTATGTTCAGAATTTTTGTAGACATCAATTTAAATCATTTACTTATAACCATCGAATGTTAAAAACAATAATAATTTTGTGCAAAATGGAATTTGAATGACCTGGAATATTCATGATTTTTTTCCAATTTTTATCAGTCAGTTTAATTGACAAATTTGATGATTGAAAATGGTTGAATCTATAGTCTGATGTGTATTAAACTGTGAAAAATACTTGGATATCCTCAGATGAAACGCCCGTCACGCAACGTTGCCGAAATCTCACTAAACGCGTCCGGGCAGTGTAGAGTAAATTCTGCCACACGGTGATAGTCATGCCGCGAGAGACTTTACGAGACAATCCTTTGGAGAGATGGTCTAGGCCTCAATGAACATGGAAATCGACTCCTCGCGTGATGACTTCAAGTCAATTTAACTCGTCTCGGTCTCAAGTTTTTTTGTGTTTTTTAATGTGTAATCTCGGTTTGTCTTTTCTTGCTTGTCTACATACAAAAAACGCGAAAAACTGAAAACCAAGGTGAGATAAATTGAATCAGAATCATCACGAGAGGAGTCGATACTGCGTATTTCGAGACTGAGACGAGACAAAAAATTTCTATGTGCCCTGAGACCGAGACAATTTCTCCAAAGTATTGTCTCGTGATGTTTCATGAAGTCTCCCGCGGGATCACTAATTCGGCAACGTTAAAGCCTAAATAACACGACGGCACATTCCCGCGGAGGTGACTAAAGTCCATGGATCGCGTTGGGTGACCAGACTAGGGTTAAGGTATCTCTTCTAACCGCTTCGCTACTGAACTCACGATAAATAAAGACTTCCGCGATTTTGAAATTTCCGTGAGGTCTTCCCTTAAAAATAGGGGTGCGCACGAGACTCGAACGAGACTTCACTCTCGAGGGATGGTCTTACTACAAAACGAATATGGAAATTTTCGGTACTGCCTCAGTCTCGAAATGCATAGTATTGCCTCTCCCCTTCACGACTCCAGGAAAATTTATCTCGTCTCATTCTCTCCTTTTTCCTATCTTCAATGTCTACGAGACCGAAACTGAAAGCGAGACCAAACATAAACAACCGGAAAAAGTGAAGACTGTGACGAGACAAATCATCTCCAAGTCATGACCACAGGAGACGATAGTATGCCTTTTGAGACTGAGACAGTCTCAAAAATTTCCCTGTTTTTTTAGAGCGAGACAATCTCTTCAAAGTGAAGTCTCGTCCGGGTCTCGTGCGCACGCAACTTAAAAATGAAATTAAAAAATCGTTGAAAAATTGTTGCGAATGCGAATTGTTGTGAAAATTAAAGACCATGGAATAATGAAAAACAATGCTCCACTCTACATGTAAGAGAATGCGAGAACAGGTGAAGCACCGAGTTAGGAACGGTGACCGAGAAAATCGATAATTCGGTATTTCAAGCTATTCACCGGTGGTCACTGAAGCTGACGCCTCGGCTATTGTCCTACATATTCTCACAATGGTATAAATATTTACCTCCATTGGTATTTACTTCCAAAAACACCTAATTAAAAAAATTATTGAATAATAATCCGATGAATGAGAGTTGAAATTAAACGAGCAAATGAAGAAAACTGAACAATCGGGAAAATAAATAACTGTTATTTTTTTCCTTTTTTCTCGACATTCTGTAAGTGTAACTGAGATGATGGTATGTGTGTAAATATGTATTTACCCGATTGCTGTAATATTTGTCATATAGTTTATACATAAAGCGTTATATACCTAGATCATGTGGAGAGAGAATAAATCGATAAATTGATCACGAAAAAATTGGAGAATTTTTAATTATATGTGTCGATTTAAATCGAGGGATCAAGGATTGTTATATCATTACTGTAAACGTGACAATCAATTCTATTGGAGAGAATTATCAAATCCCTTCACAATTATTGACACTGGATTTCATTGGAATGGGGGGGNATGGGGGGGGGGGGGAGAATTTAAGCAATTGGAGAGAAGAGTTTGATGGAAGTTGTGTGAACATTTTCGTGTATAAATCGATGTACAATATACAAATTTATTAATATAAACATTTGAATGTAATTGATGAATTCTCATTTATTATCCTGAACCCACAATTATTTTTGTTATTGAGTCAAATAATTAACTTTTATTATTTGTGTTATTGAATTTGATTTTTAATTTTTATTTTTTTTATTCCTCAATCATAATGCCATTTTTCCGCTCTAATTAATCGGAAACTCTCCATTTTTTAAGGTGTTTCAGTAATTAAGGTGTTTCACCGGTATTTTTTCGAGCGGTCAAACGCAAGGGGAATTTCATTGTTCTCGAGCCCTAATTCAATCCCTGAACACGAAAATTTTCATTTTTCAATTAACTATTTCAGAGTGCATTTCAACATTTCTTGAATATTAATTTTTTTGTAGGATTGATTGATTTTTTCCCATCACTTGCGAGTGTCAAATTGTTTTTATTGGATGATTTTCTAATTATTGAAGCGATATTAAAATGCATGAGAGACATGGCAATGTCGCAAGGATCATTCTTATGGATCTCAGTTCTATGATCTAACTTATACCCCTCCCATTCGCATTGCGCGCCAACTATGGTGGAGGCGTAGTTCCCACCCGTGAGCCTCAATGAATAGAATTCCCCCCGAAATAATCTCTGTCGAAACTCGAAATAATTTCCCGTATCACTTTTACAAATAACTTTCTTACGAAATCTAGAAACATGGAACTTATACGTACTTTCAAGCAAGATTTGATTTATCACTCACTAGTTTTTTTTCAATAGTTAATTTTTTTTTTTGGAGAAATATGAAAGTTTTCCTGATTGGAATTGGTGCAACCTCGGGATTTATAGCTGTAGAGGTTAAAAAACATCCAAATTTAATTATTTTTCTTTATTGCGGGCGAGGTCTAGCAAAAATACGAAAAAATTACTAATGATGCGGCATACTCAGATATTTTTCCCATGAATTTTTCAATTTCTTTTTATTATTTTGACTTTTCCTATGAAATACCTTGAGGTATTTCGTCTGTATTTTTCTGGGGGACGGAAGGATTCAATAGCACTGATTCAATCAATCAGGCGAACACGAAAATTTTCATTTTTCAAGTAACTATTTCCGTGTGTATTTCAACATTTCTTGAATATTAATTTTTTTGTAGGATTGGTTCATTTTTTCCCCATTACTTACGAGTGTCAAATTATTTTTATTTGAGGTTTTTCTAATTATTGAAACTATTGAAATGCTTCAGACACATGGCAATGTCGCACAGATCATCCCTATGGTCATTTCGTATGGTTATATTGGCATTTCAATTGCGCGCCACTCACGTTGAAGGCCTAGTTGCCACACACTATTTTTTTTTCAATAATCCATTTTTTTTTGTAGATATGAAAATTTTTCTGATGGATTAGGAAAGTAAGCTCGGTCCTATAGCCGGAGAAATTACAAAAACATCCAAATTGAATTATTTTTTCTCTTGAGGCCGAGATCCAGGCGAAATAGGAAAAGAATTACCAATAATACAGCACTCAGATATTTCTCTCCTGAATTTTTTAATTGTTTGTTATTACTTTGTAATGAATTGAATTTATTCGACTATCCCGCACGAATCGATCCCGAAAATATTGGAATAATTTAATAAATTGACGAAATGTGTCGCTTGTGATCCGACGAGTTACTTCTCATCTCATGCGAGACACCTCGGTCTCTTGCCTCTCGAGTCGAAGATTTGGTTCTGATTGGATATACACATGTCTTTCAAGATCCCTCCAGACCTAGATTGACCTGGTAAGTCCTAATCAGTTCTGCGACGTACTTTGCCGGAGACCTTTCGAATCCTCAGTGCTTTTCGGCCCTGCGAAGTTCCCCTCTATGCTACCGAGACCTCAGGATTTCACGAGGGGGGGGGGAGGGGAAGGCATGTATGCGGAGGGTTGAAATTTGTAGCCAACGAGGAGAGAGGGTTGCAGAATATATTTAAGCCACCCTCATCTCTCCGTTTGCAGGCGGTGTTTAAATAAAAAATAGTGGACGTTGATTCTGTATTTATTGACCCCCTGATACCAATGAAACCCTCGGAGGTGATAGAAAAGACGAGAAAAAAATTTTCATTTTCACATGGGTCAAGGGTCAGGGTGAAAGTCGATTTTCGCCAAAATTGAATTTTTTCGCCCAGTGAAGATTGATGCTGTATTTTCTAACAATTCTGATGCCAATGAAACCCCCGGAGGCGCGACAAATGTCGAAATGAAAGATTTTTTTTCATCCGGAGCCAAAGGGTCAGATTTTCAGTTTTTCCAGGGGGAAAGTCGACTTTCGTCAAAATCGAATTGTTTAGCCGGGTGAACGTTGATTCCAATGATTTAAGCCACGGGCTATTCAGAACTCTCAAAAGTATGTGGAAAAAGTGAAAACTGAAAATTTTTTCTTTCACCCGGCACCAAAGGGTCAGATTTTCGGTTTTTCCAAAGGGAAAGTCGACTTTTGACAAACTCGAATTTTTTAGCCGGGTGAACGTTGATTCCAATGATTTAAGCGACGGGCTATTCAGAACTCTCAAAAGTATGTGGAAAAAGTAAAAACTGAAAAAAAAATTTTTTCACCCGGAGCCAAAGGGGCAAATTTTCGGTTTCGGAAGCACTTGGGAAGACGCTTCCCAAGACCTATCTAGTTCTGAACGGAGAGACCTAAGTAGAACTTGTCAGGTCCAATTATTCTACTCGGGTTTTTAACGTCTGACATGACCGGTCAGTCAATTATTTCTCTTATCATTTTGTCATGTGAAGCTTTGAGTAATTATATTAATTATCAATTTGAATAATGTTTTGTTCTGTATAAGATTGCTATAAAGATTCAATTATATATTGTAACTTAAAAATAATATTTATATATTAAAAGCGCGCAATTTCGTGTAAAGGAAAATCGACACAAAAAATTATCCCCATTGATAATGAAAAATAAATTAAATTGCAAGGTAACGCATTTATAATCATCACATTTTTCATTTTCTTTATTTGAATAATAATCTCATCTAAACACGTAAACTATTACAACTTTGACTTCTCGCACAACACGCTTAAGGATATGCAAGTATCTTTTACAATTTGGTACAGACCACACTATAGATTCAACCATTTTCAATCATCAAATTTGTCAATTAAATTGCGTGAGAAACATTTGAAAAAAGTCATGAATTCAATATCGAGATTCAAATTCAGATCTGCAAAGTTTAAATAATAAAATCATTGTAAAATGGTCGGAAACTTAGGGTTAAATGTGGCTCAAATGAAATCTCTGATGTTCAACTATAAAAGTAGAAAAGCATTTGACTGGAGAAAAAATAGCCAAAGTACTTGGACATTTTTGGATACTAAACTACATATCAACGCTGTTGACAAAGTTAATATTGAACGAGTCCTGCCTAAATTCACCAGCTAATTAATACCGTGAATAATTGAATGCTCATCGATCGATGCCAACACCCAAACAGCGGTTAATACGAGAGTAACCAAAGCATATTCAATTCAAACACATTCGTACCCCTGGCAACCGGTGCACAATGCCACTATGGAAACCAACTCGGTAAGATCAAACTCCAAGACCCTTCGCCGAGTAATTTTCATTCAACTCCTCGTCAGACGTCGGCACAATCATAAATTTTAAATAAAGTTAAATGTTGAATTACCCAATTGTTTAATGTTACTCAACAATTTTTTAATTATTAAATTAATCATCAATTAAATATTCAAATTGCGAGTTATTTTATCAATCAATAATTGAGTTCGGAAGATCGACGAAATTTATAATTAGTTACTCAATAGTCAATTGACAATTCAACATTGTCAATTATTTTGTTACTTTTCAAATCTCAATCAAGATAAGTAAACCTTAATTATTTTAAGGTGCAACCTTCCTGAATATTAATAATTTAATGATTGATGCCGATCCCTGTTTCTCATTCGCTTCAAGCGCCATACGTAAGCCTCAGTGAATAGAATTTGCCCCGACACTCATAATATCCGGCATCATTTTTTCAAATAACTTTCTTACGAAATCTAGAAAAATTCTGGAACTTATGATTATTCACCCGCTAGTTTTTTTTTCTTCAATAATTCATAATTTTTTTGATAGATATGAAAATTTTTCTGATGAATTAGGAAATGAACCTCGACCCTATAGCCGGAGGAGTTAAGAAAAATAGGTAAAAAATTCCCAATGAGGCACCATACTCAGATATTTTTCCCCTGGATTTTTCAAGTTTTCTTCATTATTTTGACTTTTCACGCCGATACATATTAAGCGTAGTCTTTACAATTTAGTACAGACCACACTATATAGATTCAACAATTTCCAATCATCAAATTTGTCAATTAAATTGCATGAGAAAAATTTGAAAAAAGTCATGAATCAATATCGTCATTCAAATGTAGACCTGCAAAGTTTAAATAATAAAATCATTTTAAAATGTCCGGAACCTTCGGGTCTAATGTGGCTTAAATGAAATCTCTGATGTTCGACTATAAAAGTAGAAAAGCATTTGACTGGAGAAAAGATAGCCAAAGTCCTTGGATATTTTTGGATACTAAACTATATATCAAAGCTGTTGACAAACGAAAGTTAATATTGAACGAGTTCTGCTTAAATTCACCAGTTAATTAATACCGTGAATAATTGAATGCCCATCGATCGATATCTATACTCAAGCAGCGGTTAATACTAGAGTTACCAAAGCCCATTCAATTCAAACACATTCACACCCCTGGCAACCGGTGCACAATGCCACTATGGAAACCAACTCGGTAAGATCAAACTCCAAGACCCTTTCGCCGAGTAATTTTCACTCAACTCCTCGTTCACTCCGAGTTGACACACGCAGTTGTCAACTCTGAAGTTGCCTCTCTGATTAATTATCTCAGGAAACTCAAATTTAATTTTCATTGGCAAGATTAAAGCAGATGACTTGGAGCGTTTCAGTGCCTCTCGGAAGGTGGATCCCCTGGGCGGGTAAATATTGAGTTATGAGTGGGGGCTTCAGGGGTAAGAAGCTGACGGTTAGGTACGATGACAGCTTGAATCATGGCAAACGGGGGATGGAGAAGGGGGATAAGAGCAGGGAGATTGTGCAAAGTAAAAGGAGCAAAATTACTCGCCGGGGAGGTGGACTTTATGGAGATGGAGAGAGTGTTCTGGCTCCCCCGGCATCAATATTGGATGATCCTAGAAAGGAAAGGTAATTTTAGCGGTGTTTATGGCTCTTGAATTTTTAGTTTTGAGACTTTTAAAGGGGTTTTCTCCTATTTTTTAATTTATTTAGCAAGTGAAAATTTTTCATTTCTTTTAGATTTTAAATTTTTTTGCAAAATCTCAATTTTTTTAAACTGAAAAAAAAAATCAAAATATCTTTTGTTTTTTTCAATTTTAAAATTCCTGAAATTATGGATTTTTTTTTAAACACACATTTTTCTGTTTTTTTTCAAATATGGGATTTTTTTGGTGTTTTCATTTGTATGGATTCTAGCATTTTTCATTTTTTTTAAATCTGTAATTTCTAAAAAATTTATAAAATTTTCATATTTTTTCATTATTTTTACCTTCGTAAAAAAATTCCACTAATTAAACTAATCAGAACTAATCTGAGACGTATTTCTGGCTTTTGAGCTTTAACCTTTGAGATTTTTAAAGGGGTTTTCTCCTATTTTTCATTCAATTTGGCAATTGTAAATTTTCATTGTTGCAAAATCTCCATTTCCTTAAAACTGAGAGAAAAATCAAGATATTTTCATGGATGTATTACACCCTTTTCGCCAAAATTCATGTTTTTTTAATTTTTCCGGTAAATTATTGATCGGATTGACGTGAACAAATACCCCGCTTTTGCGTTTTATCATTACTTAAGAAATTTCATGATGGTGCAATCATTTTCCTGCCTTTTCTCTAAAACTTCGGAAATTCAGAAAACTTTGGAAAAAATGCAGGAAAATTATTGCACTATCATGAAACTTCGTGAGTCAGTCAATAATGATAGAACGCAAAAACGGTATATTATTTCGCGTCAATTTGATCCATAATTTGCCAGAAAAATGAAAAAAAAAAACGTGAATTTTGGCCGAAAGGATGTAGTACATCCTTAATTTTCTTTCAATTAAAAAAATTTTTTTTTTGTTGAAAATCCAGAGTTTCTCAAGAATTTATAGAATTTGAATTTGAATTTTAATTCAGTCCAATATTCATTATTTTGACCTTCGCAAAAAAATTGAAAAAATCAAATATTCCAAATCTTTTCTATAAAAAAATTGTTGATAAATATACAGAAAGCGAAAGCCTTCGCCCACGAAATTACGTCGGGAGAAGGAGGAGGCGTTCAAATTAAACTGTTACACAACCCTTCGGAAAAGCCGAGAGCAATTCCGCCGGAATCTGGTGAGAATGATCCTCGAACAAGAATTGGAGGAAGATCCCGGCTCGGATATCGATGAGTACAGAATAACTCACGCCGAGGACACAGAGGACCTCCTGAAATACTATTATTACATTATGCTGGGGATTGATGACGTCCATGTAGCACCTATAGATTCGGATTTGCTCGAGAAGATTCTTAATCTCGTGCCTGTGAGGTGGAAGTCTCGCTTCAAAAATACCCTGTCTGGGGTTATTGATGATGCGAGGGAGGATTATGCTATGAGCTTGAAGAAATCTATTGTGGATTTTGTGCTGCAGGATCCGTTGGAAGATGGGATGAAGTATCAAGATAAACAGGTATTACAGTCCGAATAATTATTAATAATTGACCGATGTCATCAGATGACAAGATCATTTGGGATAATGTAAAAAAATTATTTTTGAAGATGTATAAATTCTCTAGTGTGTCTCAGAGTCTTCCCTCCGTTTCGAGATATTCTCCAAAAACTAAAATCTAAAATTGTAAAATCAGTAGCGAAGTGGTCAAAGGGTTTAAGTCAATTTAGTCTTTAGTTGAATTTTCCAGAAATATTTCCGAATTTAAGGGAGATAGTGAAATTTTCATACTAACCTTTTTTATAGAGCGAATTGAACGCTACTAAAAAGGTTATGAGAAAAATTTTGCTATGTCCCTTAGATTTCTAGATATTCATTGAAAACTGGCCAATAGCCAAAATCGACTTAAACTGTTTGACCACATCGCTACTAAAATTACCTCATCTAGTCCATCATTTTACCCCCTGCAAGCAGTCATCCAAAACCAAAAAAAAACTTAATTGAGTATAAAATGTGCTTGAATCTAGTATATTTGATTTTTGATTCGAGTATAAAATATACTGGATTCATGTATATTATTCTTAATTCGAGTGTAAAATAGCCTTGATTTGAGTATATTTTATACTCAATTGGGAGATGGGTATTTCAATTCGAAGATGATTATTTTGTATTACGCCGGGTTGTGGCAAACCCTTTCAAGTGTAATATAAAGATCAGGCACAAAGTGTCAAAATATAAGGGTCAAAAAGTGGAGGTTAAAAAATGAGGGTCAAAACATTAGGGTGACAATATTAAAGTAAAAAAAGTGGGTGTCAAACAATGAGGGTCTAAATATAAGTCATATATTATGATCACCGCTTTTAGCCCTTATATGACTCTTATTGCTTGGCTGTGACATCCACTTTTTTTACTTCTATATTCTGACCATCATTCCTTCACCTTTACATTCAGGCCCTCAGTTTTTTATTCTAATAATATTCCGACACTCATTTTTTAACCTATCCTTTTTTACCTTTATATTCTCACACTTAGTGCCTGACCCATATATTAGACTTGAAAGCTTGGATCAACCCGGTCTAATACGAAATAATCATCTTCGAATTGAAACATCCATTCCCCATTCGAGTATAAAATATACTTGAATCAAATATATTTTATTCTTGAATCAGGTTTGTGCATATACCTGATCCTGGTATAAAATATACTCAACTCAAGTATATTTTTTTTCTCCGTGAATGATACATATACCCATTAAAAAACGATAAATCATATTGATGTGTAAACATCTTGCCTCTCGTTGTCGAAATTTTGTGGTAGAGTAATCCCTGAAAAATCTCATGTCACAAAAAACCCAACGGAAGTTGCGCAGTCGACCACTGCGCTTGGAGGGAATACGATGCCCACAGTCATGTGTCATGTGCTACGGATATACTATCGAGTAAAGGTGCTCTCGCTGTCGCTACAATGCCCCACTGTCAATTTAAATATCTCGAAAACTATTGAGAAGTTATCGACACAGCCAGTGTGACGAATGTAGGGAATTTCACAACAAATAAAATGGTTTTCAATTCACATCTCTGCGAATCGTGGCTCTCAGAATGTGGACATTTGTGGATAGGAGCACCCCACGGTCCGTGCGCTCCCTGATGATACCTCAAATGATAATACCCCGAGAATCGTGAGTCGTAAAGACATGAGTAAAAAGCCACTTTATTCATCATAAAAATTCAACGATGATTTTTAGTAATCCTCACGAATATATTATCGATCGCATTTTTTCTGCATAAAATTACTATAATTAAAATTCATAAAAAATACACCGTCACTCTAATCGAAAAAAAAACGATTTTCTCCAGGAAATGACAAAAGAAAGGTACGAAATCAAGAATTTCCCCCCAGCATTCTCAGTCAGATACAAGAGATCCAGACTAAAATTGCAGAAAATTTTATACCTCTATCATCCTTGCATGAGAAAGGCTCTAGACCTGTGGTATCAGGACTTTAGGTGAGTAGCCCGCCATGAAAAATTATACCGCAATTTTTCCTCTCAACGACCCACCTACACTGAGACAAAAAAATATTTGTGTTCATTAAAATCAATTTCTGCCGAATGTTTGACACGAAAATTTGAATGGGGATTCCATAGGGAAATTCTGGGCATTTGGTTATTTCAAGAATACTTGATTGACGCGAATAATTTTTTCCTCAATGATTGATTAGTTGCGTGAATGGATTTACTGTTTAAGAACCCTGAGATTGATCGACAAAACCGAACTGCTAGCCTCTGACAAGCCCTACGACCTCTCGGCCTTCGAGTCTACATTCAATTCGATGGTGAAAAGGACTATAAGTACATTGTGTAAAGTCTGGCTGCCGAAACTAACGAACATCGTTACAGTGGTAGGTAAGAATCCGTTTTTCCTCTGAATGTAGAATTGGATATTTGAAATTTATCATTGAGAGGAAGATCAATTAAAGTAGTATGAACAGAACTGATATTTTGAAGATTCCTAGCATCATGTTGATGTGCTTCCATTGGTAGTGAGAGGGACATAGATTCGAATGTACACTGTTAAAAAAATTTGGCTGAATATTCCGGAAAAGGATGTTGAATTCGATTTAAGGGTAAAAATTCAATGGAATTTCAAGTTTCTCTAAAAATTCAACTCAAGTCCCAATTTTTTCTGGCAGGAAGATGAAAATTCAACAATTTAAACGAATTTTCAAGTGGAAATGGATATTCACCGCCCAATTCCCTTGGATTTTCAGGGAATTCTTTTAAAATGGATTTGGAATTCCCTTGGAATTTCAGGAATTTTTAAAGAAATTCTCTGGAAAGTCAAAGGAATCTGGAATGCATGGAGAAATTTCTCTGAATTTTCCTGATTTTTCATTATTTTTTCCAGAATAATTAAACTGGAATTCATAGTTCCCACGGATTTTTCCATTAAATTATGAATTTTCACTGTAATTTTACTTGTTGGATATTTTCACGACCATTACAGGAAATTTCAGTGGAAAATTTTTAATCCCTCCAGTACGGCGTACTACCGACTGACGTTTGTATAACCTGACGTCAGATAACCCCTTTCCGTGTTTAAAATTGGGACTGGTTCTTCTTCTTCTGTTCAATATGGTTATATTCTCTATGGTAGAGGCAAGTACCATTTCTCCTCCAGATTTATTTAATGTTTATATCCAATAGAGGGCGTAACAATATATCTTAGTTTCAAATATTCTAAAGTCGTGTTATTCTGATTCCCTTTTCTTTTTCTGGCTCGTCATGAATTCTCTCAGAATGATGTAAACATTGTGGTGCGTCTTGACCTTCGATGTTCTTTGTTTTGAATACCAATTTTATTCCTGAGGAATTTCATTATATGACCTCATCATGTGTAACTCAATCCAGAAGATTGCCGCTATAACACAATTTCTCGATACAGTTCAATGTCAGCACATCAGAAATTCACTTCACAATCACTTTTGTTTCAAAAAATTAATTACCTTCAAAATTAAGTCCTCTGTTAACTTATCTCAAAATTAATATTCAATTCGGACCGCTAATCAACTTTGATCGGATGTTCGAATAATTAATCTGGTTGGGAGTTCGCTGGTGGTCTCTAGGACCACTATTAATTATTGGAGCGTCAAAATTAATGATGGAGAAAGAATGAGAAAAAGAAAAGAAAGAAAATTAAAGAATAGATGTTAGAAATAATATTTTTCCGGCCTGTTGCGATGGGGGTTTTTACTCGCCTACGGCTCGGAGGCCAACGCCACACGAGTAAAAAAACCCGATCGCAACAGCCCAGGAACAATATTTTTCTGTAGTGATTTCCAAGTTTTCGAGTTTGGGAAGTATGTAATACCAATTCCCAGACGAGAAATCGTGAAAAGCAGTGCAGAAAAGCATATTTCAGATGTTGGGATAGATATCCTTTGGAACGGAACAGACGAGCGACTGTCCCTCTTGACGACTCCCAGCGAACTCAATTGAGACTGGTTCGCGGTATGGGCCAGTCAGGAATAATCGGGTAAGGTCGGGTTTAGAGTTGGAGAGGCCATTGGGGTCGACCGGCCCTCGGGGAGTACGGATTCATCAGGGATAGGGTTCACATCGGTTTTCGGAGAACACGTATCGGTATCAATTCATCACGTATAGGGTGTACATCTCGGTATTCACGGTCATCGCTATAAAATTATATCATTCATCAATCGTCATTATCTCGGTTATTTTATCTTCCATTTCTCGGGTCAAATAATGAGTTATCTCTTAACTGGAAAATAATCAGTGTCATTTGTGGACAATTATCGAGTAACATTTATGATGTAAATAGTGTAAATGTCTTTAATTGGTGACACTAGATAGATTGAATACTTAAATCTCTGGTTTATTTCACATCCCGGCTCAATCACCCGAGTCGAGGATTTGGTTCTGATTGGACGTACACAGGTCTTTCAAGATCTCTCCAAACCTAGATGGACCTGGTAAGTCCTAATCAGTTCTGCGACGTACTTTTCCAGAGACCTTTCGAATCCTCAGTTCTTTTCGGTCCTGAGAAGTCCTCCTCGATGCTACCGAGAACACGTGATTTTACGAGCGGGTGAAGGGGAAGGCATGTATGCGGAGGGTTGAAATTTGTAGTCAACGAGGAGACAGGGTTGCAGAATATATTTTAGCCACCCTCATCTCCCCGTTTGCAGGCGGTGTTTAAATAAAAATTGTGAACGTTGATTCTGTATTTATTGAACCCCTGATGCCAATGAAACCCTCGGAGGTGACAGAAAAGGGGAAAAAATTTTTTTCATTTTCACGTGGGTCAAGGGTGAACGTCGATTTTCGCCAAAATTGAATTTTTTCGCCAAGTGAAAGTTGATTCTGTATTTTCTAAAAATTCTGATGCCAATGAAACCCCCGAAGGCGCGACAAAAGTCGAAATAAAATTTTTTTTTTACCCCGAGCCAAAGAGTTAGATTTTCTGTTTTTCTAGTGTGACGAACCTTTTGGCTCAAGAAATTGTTTAAATTTTTCCTTTGTGCTCCGGTGCTTCAGTTGCCAGGGTTTATATGAAGGAAGTTAATTCAAAACGCCGTTCGTCCAGTAAATTATCTCCAAATTTCAAATTTGTCCCAGTTGTCCCGTTTTACCAGCTTTTACAATTTATTACCAGATTTTTCCAGACTTACCAAATTTCTACCTAGATTTCCCAGATACCAGATTTCCACGAATTTACCAGATTTACTTTACGAATTTAATTGTTAGTTATTCTGCCAATTCAGTATAAAGTATCAGTCCCCCAGATACCAGATTTATCCCAGAGAGTTTAATTACCAGATTTTGGACTGAACGTTACACATTTACTTGACCCAAATAAACCAAACAATTCCCAGATAATTACATGAGATACTTTTGCTCAATTTCTCTCATGAATTATTTTACCAGACACATGATTCTAAATTCTATTAATCATGGAAACGAATCCCTCAGTTTTGGCCGATTCATGTAGCCTTGAGCGCATCATAGGAATTATAGTTTCCATTACCAGCTTTATTAACAAAATAATAATTCATACTTCAAATTAACAATTACACAGACATCAAGCAATACCCACAGAATCTTCTCGTTGATACTCAGTTTCAGATTAGTATAAGCCATATCAAATATCAATTTCCAAGTAATTAACCAGTAACTCTAATTATACATTCCCGATTCAGATTTCGGATTTAAAATCCGCCTATATAGTACAGCCCACAAAATAACCCTCTGCATACCAGCCGTCGGTAATCCAGAACAATGTAAGACCCAATTTCAAGATGGCTGAGTCGGAGAATGAACGTCATTTCCTCCTCGAGATATTTCGCGAAAGAAAGAATTTCCCACCCAAGAGAATAATTTCTCCCTCCGCGAACGTTCCACCCCGCGTGGCTCTACCACGACAGTTTTATCCGTCGCTGTCAAGGGCTCGACCACAGCTCGCTTTTAGTCAAAGACTAATTAAGCTGGCTGCTGACAAAAATTAACTAAATGGCTCGACCACAGCACACAAGTAGCAAAATGCTAATTTAGTAGCTGCTGACAATTTGACTCTACCACAGCTCGCGATAGTCAGAGACTAGTGTCGCTGGCTGCTGTCAATGGCTCGACCACAGCTCGCTAGTAACTAAAAGTTAATATAGCTGGCTGCTGACAATTGGTTACTTTTCTCTCCTCCGGCGAGGATCGTAGGTGAACCCGGGTGAGGCTTTCCTGATCGCCCCACCACACCTGCGTACCGAACTGAGCTGCTGCCCGAAACTTAATACCTTCAAAGGGCTATTTGACTCGTAGAAATAATGCGCCACCTAGGTCGGTCGCGGAACTACCATATTTCAAAATATTCCCCGGGAGTCGATAGCCCACTCAACCACCTTTACATTCACATTTCTAAATTCCATATAATTCTCATTAAATTCACAAAATAAAAATACCCTCAATAATTCACAAAACTTCCAAAATACAAAATCATAAAATCATGAATCTCTCAATTGTGAGAATCCTCACAG